ACTGCAGTTACTTTTATTCTGTTCTGAGGGGATGATAATAGATTTAGGCAGAGTTCTTGTTCCGAACATGTGCATAGTCTTAGATAAGAGGGGTTAGCTTCTACTAATGATACACTTCTCTAACTGGATGAGTTACAGAGCAACATTCACGTGGAAAATGCAGTTGTATAACCACTTCCATCCACCCCTTTGCTGCTGCTTACATGCTATACTGATGTAGGGGAGAAAACATATTTTTCCTCTATTTCCGCTGCAAATTAGAGTGGCCAAAGACAGATTAACAAGAGAAAAGCAACTAGAATTTTAGTGGCATTTGCATCTTGCTTACACATGGGAGTACCAGGGATGAGTAACCCAAAGTGGTTATAACTTGGGCTTATGACTGGGCATGGTGGCTCACACCTGTAATCCCAGCGCTTTGGGAGACCGAGGCAGGAGGAGGCTAGTCTCTTCAGGAGGAAGAGACCAAGAAATAAAAGCTCCCCCTCTGAGCCCAGTTTTAAGCTGCCTAGGAATAAAATATTCAAGACCAGCCTAGGCAACAAAGTAAGGCCCCATCTCTACAAAAAATTAGCCGGGTGTGGTGGCATGCACCTGTAGTACCAGCTACTCAGGAGGCTGAGGTGGGAGGATCGCTTGAACCTGGGAGATTGAGGCTATAATGAGTCGTGATCATGCCAGTGCCTGCACAACAAAGGGATACTCTGTCTTTTAAAAAAACAGAAAGAAAAGAAAAGGGGTTTTGGGCTTCTGGATGAGAAGGTGTTTTGGGCAAGTTATGGGAAGGTGACCGGGAAAAGTATGGTGAACAAGAGTTGTCCAGAGAGCTTTGTTACATAGGTTTCTGTCACTTCTCCACTTTTAAGAGTTGTTAACAGTACTCCCATTCTTGGTGCTAGAGAGGGAAACACCTCTACAAATGGAAATGTCCTTTACAAAAGGAAAATTGATGCCCTGTTTTTAGAGCTTTTCCTGAGTCTGCTGGTTCTCAATGGCCTCTAGCTTAAAATAATCCATATTCTGGCACCCTTCAGTCATCTTGTAGACAAGACGTTGCACGGTGGACGTTGATGACACCATATCTTTCCTTTTTGCTCTCAAAGTGCTCTTTGGATTTTATGTTTCTACATTTAGGAGTGCCAGAAACTTTCTGTTTTTTCCCCCTTACACTGTCAAAGTAGAAATTATAAGTAGTTGCCACAAGGTAAAGGAAAATCTCTTGGTGATAGAAAAATCCATGTCATCTCTAAAATGTATTTTCATGTGAAAGGTCACTGTTAACCACAAAATCACTAATACTGACATTTAAGTCACCGAGCTCTTTAGAGTTTGTGCAAGTTAAAATAATATCTGCCACACTGAGGTAGTAAAATATCTGGGATAGTTCAAAGAATTGTTTGCAGTAGAAGATGCTGATGGTTGGAGCTCATTCCTTTCCCTGCTGTGGCCACAGCCATGAGTATGCTGTAGCTTCTGAAGAGACTAGCCTCTAGTGTCCTCCACTGTGGCAAGAAGAAGGTCTGGTTGGACCCCAGTGAGATCAGTGAAATTGCCAATGCCAACTCCCATCAGCAGATCTAGAAGCTGATCAAAGATAGTCTGATCATCCACAAGCCTGTGATGGTCCATTTCCAGGCTGGATGCCTGAAAAACACCTCAGCCCAACAGAAGGGCAAGCACATGGGCACAGGTAAGCGGAAGGATACAGCCAATGCACAAATACCAGAGAAGGTCATGTGGATGAGGAGAATGAGGATTCTGCTCTGGCTGCTGAGAAGTTACCGGAATCTAAGATTGATCACCACGTGTATCACAGCCTTTACCTGTAGGTGAAGGGTAATGTATTCAAAAACAAGTGGATTCTCATGAGATAACAGCCACAAGCTGAAGGCAGACAAGGCCCACAGGAAGCTCCTGGCTGCCCAGGCTGAGGCCTGCAGGTCTGAGACCAAGGAAGCATGTAAGCACTGTGAAGAGGCCTCCAGGCAAGAAGGAGGAGATCATTAAGACTTTGTCCAAGGAGGAAGAGACCAAGAAATAAAAGCTCCCCCTTTGTATATACTGGCCTCCATGATTACATAGATCAACCATTAAAATAAAACAAGTTAAAAAAAAGTTGATAGTTGCAAAATGTGAAAAAAAGGCCCCGTATTCTATATTAAAGCAGAAATGTGTTTTTACCTTATATTGAACTCCTACTTGCCTCTATTATCACACACAGCATTTTTTTCCTAAAATTGTTAACTCTGGAGGAGTGATTGGACTTATTTTTTTTAAACAGCTGTGTTGAGAAGTAACTCACATGTAATATAGTTCGCCATTTTAAAGTGTGCCATTCAGTAGCTTTAATATATTCAAAGAGTTGAACAGCCATCACTGTAGTCTCATTTTAAAACATTTTCATCATACCCGACAGAAACCATGTACCCAAATCATTCCCTGTTACCCCATCCCCTGCCGCAGCACTAGTCAACCACTACCTCCATCTCTATAAATTTGCCTCTTCTAGATATTTCATATGAATGGAATCATACAGTGTATGGCCATGTTCACTTGCAATTGCTGCTATAACAGATTATCACACACCGAGTAGCTTAAAACAACAGAAATTTATTTCTCACATTTCTGCAGGCCAGAAGTCTGAAATCAAGTGGTCAGCAGGGTTTGTTCCCTACTTAGGGGGTCAGAGGGAGAATCTGTTCCATGCCTCTCTTTTTGCCTCTGTAAGGCCAGCGATTCTTAGCGTTCTTCGGCTCGCAGGCACATCACTCCAGTCTCTGCCTGAGTCTTCACGTCGCCATCTCCCCAGGGTGTCTTTACATGACCTTCTTATAAGGACTTCCCTCATTAGATTACAGCCCTTCCTAATCCAGCATGATCTCATCTCAACTGATTACAGCTGCAGGGACCCTATTTCCAAACAGCCTCACATTCTGAGGGTCTGGTGGACATGAATACTGTTCAACCCAGGACAACGGCCTTTTGTGTTTAGCTTCTTTCACGTCACATGATTTTGCCAGGGTTCATCCGTGTGGTAGTTGCTGTGATACATGTATCTGGACCTAATTCCCTTTTATGGCCAAATAATGTCCCACTGTGTGGATATACTAGATTTTATTCATCACTTCATCATTTGATGGGCATTGGGTCATTTCCACATTTTGACTTTTGTGAATAAGCTGCTTTGAATAGTGATGTATAAGTTTTTGTGTAGACTTATATTTTCATTTCTCTTGAGTTAGATGTGTTTAACTTTTAAATCTGTCAAGTGTGATGTACCTTTTTCTTTGTATAAATGTATGGGGTACAGTGCAATTTTGTTACATGCATAGATTGCGCAGTGGTCAAGTCAGGGCTTTTAAGGTATCCATCACCTGGCCATCCATCACCTGAATAACATACACTGTACTCATTATGTATTAATTAGGCTTCTTGGCCTGACACAGTGGTTGTAATCCCAGCACTTTGAGAGGCCAAGGCGGGTGGGTCACCAGAGGTCAGAAGTTTAAGAACAGCCTGGCCAACATGGTGAAACCCTATCTCTACTAAAAATACAAAGGTCAGCCAGGTGTGGTGGTGGGTGCCTGTAATCCCAGCTACTCAGGAGGCTGAGGCAGGAGAATTGCTTGAACCCAGGAGGTGGAGGTTGCAGTGAGCCAGATCACGCCACTGCACTCCAGCCTGGGTGACAGAGTAATACTCCATCTCAAAAAGAAAAAATTAATTAAGCTTCTTGTCATCCTCTCCCTTCTACTCCCTCACCCTTCCAAATCTCCACTGTCTATCATTCCAGTCTCTGTGTCCATGAGTCCACATTATTTAGCTTCCACTGATGAGTAAGAACACACAATATTTGTTCTTCTGTATCTTTCTATATTTTTTATTTTTTAATTTTAATTTTTTTTTCTTGTTTTACTTAAGATATACATATTTATGCCACTCTGTGGTAATGGCTGTTAGTTATTAAAATTCTAACAGTCATTCTGATAAAATGAATTCTGGTTCATTTTCTGAATCTTGAGTTTGTGTTGTATTTCAGGGACTTTTCAGTGACTCATCTTTGGGGAATTATGTTTTATGGGAAATATGCTTCTTTCTTTACAGCTTATTTGTTGGAAATGTGTTGCTAACATTGCAAATAAAGCTGTCTAGTCTCTCACTTGCTGGTTTGTGTCCTTTGTTATTTGTAGTAGAATTTAACTTTTTTTTTTTTTTTTCTGGAAACGGAGTCTTGCTCTATTGCCCAGGCTGGAGTGCAGTGGCACAGTCTCGGCTCACTGCAGCCTCCACCTCCCGGGTTCAAGCAGTTCTCCTGCCTCACTCAGCCTCCCGAGTAGCTGGGACCACAGGCACTTGCCACCATGCCCGGCTAATTTTTGTATTTTTAGTAGAGATGGGGTTTCACCATGTTGGCCAAGATGGTCTTGATCTCCTTACCTCGTGATCCAACCACCTCAGCTTCCCAAAGTGCTAGGATTACAGGCATGAGCTGCCACACCTGGCCGCATTTAAACCATTTGCAAAGCTCTTTGTCCTTGTGATATTTTGGTTTTTGTGGGATTTCTTTGGTTTTGTTTTTGTTTTTTGGAAAGAGTCTTGCTCTGTCATCCAGGCTGGAGTGTAGTGGCGTGATCTCAGCTCCCTGCAACCTCCACCTCTCGGGTTCCGGTGATTCTCTTGCTTCAGCCTCCCAAGTAGCTGGGCTTACAGGCACCTGCCACCACACCCAGCTAATTTTTGCATTTTTAGTAGAGATGGGTGTTTCTTCGTGTTGGCCAGGCTGGTCTCAAACCCCTGGCCTCAAGAAATTCACCCACCTCAGTCTCCCAAAGTACTGAGATTACGGGCATGAGCCACCAACACCTGGTCTCCTCCCCCACTTTCTTGACAAATTAGTAGGAACTTCGTGATATCAACTCTAGAGCCTTATTGTTCTGCATATTTTATGTTTAAACTAAATAAACATTTCATAAAACTAATTTTTTATTTTTTCTTGACAGATCGCTTACAACCTTGGGGTTGGTTATATCATCACTGGCTGACCAGGCGGCTGGCAAGGGTAAAAACAAATTTGTGCCTTATCGCGATTCAGTCCTCACTTGGCTACTTAAGGTAATCCATTGCTCTAGTTTTCTTTTCCAACTAAAAATTGGCTGTTCCAGATGCCACAGAGTAAAGTTGTGTGCAAAGCTAAGCGAATATATAAAGAACTCTCCTGCTGACAGTTATTTTAATTCCTAGGAACACAGAATAAAAACTATTTTCTACTGCTTTTTGTTCCATTAGAATGCTATTTGACAGGCATTATTCATTGCTGTGAATATAGAGAAAACACATTTCATCTTGTCGTGACATTATTTGTAAAATGCAAGCCCATTTCCACATAATGTTTCCTTTACAGAGAATAATGTCATACATAACACATTTAGTGCTTTGATTGTACGTGTTGTCCACGGAATGGGCTTCCTAAGATGCTGTTTGAAATACTTTGCAGGACAATTTGGGAGGAAATAGCCAAACCTCTATGATAGCTACCATCAGCCCAGCAGCAGATAACTATGAAGAGACCCTCTCCACGTTAAGATATGCAGACCGAGCCAAAAGGATTGTGAACCATGCTGTTGTGAATGAGGACCCCAACGCAAAAGTGATCCGAGAACTGCGGGAGGAAGTTGAAAAACTGAGAGAGCAGCTCTCTCAGGCAGAGGTAAAAGCAGCCTGGTGCTCCCCTTTGGTAAAGTTCCCTGGCTTGCGGGATTTAACTGGCAAGGGTGTGCTCGTTTGCAGTTGTAGGTCATTGTTTGCAGTTGTAGGTCATCTGATATGGTTTGGGTTTGTGTGTCCACCCAAATCTCATATCAAATTGTAATCCCCAGTGTTGGAGGAGGTGATTGGATCATGGGGGTGGCCTTCTCCCTTGCTGTTCTTGTGATAGTGAGTGCTCACCAGATCTGGTTGTTTAACATGGTGTGCCACCTCCTCCTTCACTCCCTTTCTCCTGCTCAGTCACGTAGGAAGTGCCTGCTTCCCCTTAGCCATGATTGTAAGTTTGCTGAGGCCTCCGCAGCCATGCTTTTTTTTTTTTTTTTTTTTTGAGACGGAGTTTCGCTCTTGTTACCCAGACTGGAGTGCAATGGCGCGATCTCGGCTCACCGCAACCTCCGCCTCCTGGGTTCAGGCAATTCTCCTGCCTCAGCCTCCTGAGTAGCTGGGATTACAGGCACGTGCCACCATGCCCAGCTAATTTTTTGTATTTTTAGTAGAGATGGGGTTTCACCATGTTGACCAGGATGGTCTTGATCTCTCGACCTTGTGATCCACCCGCCTCGGCCTCCCAAAGTGCTGGGATTACAGGCTTGAGCCACTGTGCCCGGCCCAGCCATGCTTTTTATACTGCCTGTGGAACCACGAGCCAATTAAACCTCTTTTCTTTATGAATTACCCAGTCTGAGGTATTTCTTTATAGCAGTGTGAGAATAGACTAATTAACACATCATCTCAGTGTGGTTCAGCACTTCAGTGTTGATTGGCATCTGCCAAGTGCTAAGCATTGTGAAGACCAACACAAGTAATACAAGACTTATGTCCTAGGAACTTACAGTCACAGAAGCAAACAAATGAGAGAGAATTCCTGCTACTACCTGACCATTTGCTTCAGTAAATCAGTTGGCCTTTGAATTGTCAATAGGAAAGTATGCTGTTTTTATTAACATTATAGACTGTGTTTCCACAGGGCCTTGCAATTTTCAGAGAACTTAGTTAGGTATCATCTCCTTATTAAGCCATGGAAACAGCATGATCAAGGATAATTAAACATTAGGAATACTTGAGAAATCTTTTACTTTTTCATTTATATCAGGCCCTGGCAAGAAAGAAAATCTTTTTGTATTGTTATCTTCCTTCTTTGGCTTTACTCAAACTTTAATAATGATATACTATTCCAAATAGGTATTACTCTTTGACAGTTATTGGATGAAGCAGTGTCTCATTTGAAATATGTAAGAGGACAGCTTTGGAGGCCAAGTGCCTTATTTAAGTCACAGGGTTCCACATGTCAGGACTTGGGAGTATAACTGACACTTCTAAGTTTACATTCCTTCGCCACTCTCTTCTGACTCCACTGAAGTTGGGAGGGTATTAACTTGTCAGAAAAAAAGAAAGAAAAACAGAGTTAATGGCCACTATTTATGGATCACTTATATGCCAGACACTATGTAAATACTTTTATTCATCAGCATATTTCATCAAAAAGTAATCAATAGAAGACTGAAAACACAAAACACTATAGCCAGGAGTCTGAATACTCTATTCATTGGTGATCTTGGCATTGTGTTGTAATTGTTTATTCATATATCTTTCTCTTCTTTCAGGCTGTGGCTCTTAAATTACAAAATGCTGTGTTTTATTAATTTTTTTCTTTTTCTTTTTTTTTTTTTTTTTGAGACGGAATCTTGCTCTGTCACCAAGCTGGAGCGCAGTGGTGTGACCTCAGCTCACTGCAACTTCTGTCTTCAGGTTCAAGAGATTCTCCTGCTTCCGCCTCCAGAGTAGCTGGGTTGATAGGCATCTGCCACCACACTCAGCTAATTTTTGTATATTTAGTAGAGATGTGGTTTCATCATGTTGGCCAGGATGGTCTTGATCTCCTGACCCCATGATCCACCCACCGCGGCCTCCCAAAGTGCTGGGATTACAGGCGTAAGCCCCTGTGCCCTGCCTTAACAATTTTGTTTATCCCTAACCCCTAGCCTAATAATGATACTAGAAAGCACTTAGCACAATGTCTTCCACATAGTAAGTGCTCAATAAATGTTGCTGATTTTTATTATCATTGTTTATAATCATTCAGTGCATTAAGTGTAATTTTTAAATTGATGCTAAGAAGGGTAGCAAAACACCAGAAAAAATAAAATGCTGATAAACTTTGAAAATAGTTGTGATGCTAGGAGGAAAATATAATGGTTCTGCAATGTGTTTATAGGTAGATCATCTACTTATTTGCATTTCTACTGTGACCTCATAATCTAGATCAGGTGGCTCAAGCAATACCTGACCAAAGGACATAAAAGAAGAGCCACATAGATCCACCTAGAGTTTTATTTTTCTGTTTTTTTTTTTTTTTTGAGATGGAGTTTCGCTCTTGTTACCCAGGCTGGAGTGCAATGGCATGATCTCGGCTCACCGCAACCTCCGCCTCCTGGGTTCAGGCAATTCTCCTGCCTCAGCCTCCTCAGTAGCTGGGATTACAGGCATGCACCACCATGCCCAGCTAATGTTTTGTATTTTTAGTACAGACGGGGTTTCACCATGTTGACCAGGATGGTCTCGATCTCTTGACCTTGTGATCCACCTGCCTTGGCCTCCCAAAGTGCTGGGATTACAGGCTTGAGCCACCGCGCCTGGCCCTTATTTTTCTGTTTCTTTTATTCTGTTTGTTCATTTGTTTTCGACAGAATCTCGCTCTGTTGCCCAGGCTGGAGTGCAGTGGCACTATCTTGGATCACTGCAACCACCACCTCCTGGGTTCAAGTGATTCTCTTGTCTCAGCCTCCCAAGTAGCTAGGATTACAGACAGGCATATGCCATTATACCTAGCAAATTTTTTATATTTTTAGTAGAGACAGTGTTTCATCATGTTAGCCAGGCTGGTCTCGAACTCCTGGTCTCAAGTGATCTGCCCACCTCAGCCTCCCGAAGTGTTGAGATTACAGGCATGAGCCATCAGTCCGGTCTGTAATTTTCATGTATGTCCCACTGTACTCAGCACTAAATGCCACTGTCTGGCCTTGTTAATACCATAAGCCTCAGGCATACTCAGCTAGCTTTCATATCATCACATCCCAGCTTCTTGTTCAAGCTCTGCCGTCTTTCTTGTTCATAGAGTTTTACTCTGTAGAGGTTTATGTTACTTTAAGGTGTCAAAGCATATCATCGACAAGGAAAGACCTCTCCCCTGAATATTTTGTTAAGCTGCAAATATCTGTATTGAAACCTCTTAGTTACTCTCCCTGAACAAATGAGAAGGGAAACCACTGCCCTTTTAACCAGCTATGCTGCTTCTGGGTGAACGATAAATAAGCAAAATGTATTACCATCAGTGGAGAAAGGTAGTCCAAACACCCAGATTCAAAATTTAGAATACATGAGAAGTCTTTACCTTTTCTAGCAGGTTAATTTGACTGGAATTCATTTATTGATGATGAGTGTTAACCTCTGTCTTATTGAAAAAGAAGTCTGCTTAAGTAAACTTTTTTCCTAATTATCTGTTTCAAAGTTGAACGTTAGTATCTGTTAGGGCTTTAAATGTAAGATCTAAGTATGATGGATAAAATGACTCTAATGATTTATTTCATGTTCACTCAGGACGTTGGTATTTCTTTTTCTCCTTGCAACAGGAGCAGCCATGTTCTCTTAACATTCGTTTGATTAATAAAGGTTAAAACCCACCCTAACAGCATATAACTTAATTTTTTCCAACAGACTATTGTTAACTACTTATGAGGGACAGTAACTGATTGTCTTGTACATAATGCTGGAAAAATTTTGAATGTCATCTACCTCTGGTTTCATTTTAAGGCCATGAAGGCCCCTGAACTAAAGGAGAAGCTTGAAGAGTCTGAAAAGCTGATAAAAGAACTAACAGTGACTTGGGAAGAGAAGCTGAGGAAAACAGAAGAGATTGCACAGGTAGCTTGATAATTTAGCCCTAAGGTATTGGGATTCTTTTTCATTTATTGTCTTTTCTGTGTAGTTTCCTATCCTCTTCAGAAAGTCTTTTTTTTTTTTTTTTTTTTTTTTGAGACAGAGTCTCACTCTGTCGCCCAGGCTGGAGTGCAGAGGTGGGATCTTGGCTCACTACAACATCCACCACCCAGGCTCAAGCAAGTCATCTGCCTCAGTCTCCTGAGTAGCTGGAATTACAGGTGCCTACCACCATGCCTGGCTAATTTTTGTATTTTTAGTAGAGATGGGGTTTTACCATGTTGACCAGGCTGGTCTCAAACTCCTGACCTCAGGTGATCTGCCCACCTCAGCCTCCAAAGTGCTATGATTATAGGCGTTAGTCAGCACACCCAGCTTCAGAAAGTCTTTTAAGGACCCTTTCCTGCTGAACCAGAGATTGCAAAGATCACCTTTTTTTTTTTTTTTTTTTGAGACCAGGTCTCCCAGGCTGGAGTACAGCAGCTCAATCAGAGCTCTCTTGCAGCCTCAACATAGTGGGCTCAAGTGATTCTCCCAAGTAGCTGTGACCACAGGCATGTGCTACCATGCCCAGCTAATTTTTTTTTTTTTTTTTTTTTTTTTTTGTAGAGCTGGGATCTTACTTTGTTGCCTAGGCTGGTCCCAAACTCCTGAGCTCAAATGATTCTTCTGCCTCAGCCTCCCAGAGTGCTGGGGTTACAGGCATGAGCCACTGTGCCTGGCCCAGCAAACATCACTTTTAGACACTGACTCCATGTCTTTTTATCAACATACAATATGGCCCATAAATTTCTAGACATGTTAGCACTAAATTTGAACAGACATGGTTACAAAAAATATCATTTGTATTTCCTGCTCTTCATATTTGCTGTTTTGTGATTTTTTTTTCCCCCAGAGGGTCTCACTCTGTCGCCCAGGCTGGAGTGCAGTGGCTCGATCTCAGCTCACTGCACCCTCTGCCTCCTGGGTTCAGGCAATTCACCTGCCTCAGCCTCCTGAGTAGTTGGCACTAGAGGTGTGTGCCATTACACCTGGCTAATTTTTTTTTTTTGTACTTTAGTAGAGATGGGATTTCACAGGCTGATCTCAAACTCCTGAGCTCAGGCAATCCACTCACCTTGACCTCCCAAAGTGCTAGGATTACAAGTGTGAGTCACCATGTTGGCCTTATTTTGTGATTTTTAAATCACCTGGCAAAGCATGAAGCTACCTCATTTTAATTTTTATCCTATTGATTGATTGATGGAGATGGAGCCTTACTTTGTCACCCAGGCTGGAATGCAGTGGTGTGATCTCTGCTTCCTGCAACCCCCGCCTCCCAGGTTCAAGCTATTCTGCCTCAGCCTCCCAAGTAGCTAAGACTACAGGCACATGCCACCACACCTTGGTAATTTTTGTACTTTTTTAGTAGAGACATGGATTCACCAACTTGCCCAGGCTGGTCTCAGACCCCTGACCTCAGGTGATCCACCCGCCTCAGCCCCTGAAGAGGCTGCCTAATTGACACAGAATTTGTAACATAAGCATATCATAATTTTTGTAATGTGTTTGATTCTTTGGGCTTGTTAGGAAATACTATATGTTTGTATTTTAACTTTTACTTAAGATATAAAGGAAGGACTAATTCTCAGGAGTTATGTGCATCATGAATTTCTCTACATTATATATTTCACAAACATTTTTAATCTCATTGACCATTTGGAAATATTGGACCATCTCCATCAAGCAGCTTAACAGCAGTCACTGGAACCCAGTCCAACCTTCTGCTGATATGTTTCTTATAGATATCATTCACACCCACACATACCCCTATCCTTAATCACTATCCTGTTAACATTGCTTTATGTTTCTTCATATTACTTAACACCATTGGAAATTCTATGTACCATATTGACTTGCCTGCTTTCTTACAAGCTGTTTCTCCCACCAAAATATAAGCTTTCATGAAAGACAGGACTTTATTTGATTCAGTGCTGTATTTGCAGCCCGAGATCAATAACTACTACATTGTAGACTCTAATAAATGTATCTTGAATGAATGAATGAATACAAGGCCTTCCACAGTAGAGACCCAACCTTCTCTCCCAGCCTCAGCTCCCACTGCTTTCCCATATTTGCCAGGGGTTCTTTGCCCCTGAAATCATCTAGTATATCCAGAGGCTTTCTTTACTGTGTTTCCGTATGTCCTGCCCCAAGAACACCCTATCTTTATATATCTGTTGAAATTCTTCTTATGCTTCAAGAACTATCTCAGATGTATTCTCTTTCTCCAGCCTTTCTTGGTCTCTTAATCCATCACGATCTCTCTCCTTTGAAGCCCCTGGCATTTTGTCCCCTTCCAATAGCACAGCACTCTCCTCTTTTGTCCTCTAGTTTTGTGGTCTTGTCCCTTGTACCAGACTCTAAGCCCCTTAGGAGTCAAAATGGTGTCTCATTCATCCTTGGTGCCCCTATCACTCCTGCCACAAGATGTCATGCACTGTAGACTCTGTAAATGTGGTTGAGGAGAGTAGCATGTGTAATCCCATTGGCATTGTCCCCAGGAACAGTGACTTACTCTTTCCGTGTATACATCTTGTGAATAGAACAACAAATAGAGTTTCCTTCATTTGTCTGTTTTTGTGCAGGAAAGACAACGACAGCTTGAAAGCATGGGGATTTCCCTGGAGATGTCTGGTATCAAGGTGGGGGATGACAAATGCTACTTAGTCAACCTGAATGCAGACCCTGCTCTTAACGAACTTCTGGTTTATTATTTAAAGGTAGGAGAATATATAAATACATAGTTGCAATCAAGATTCATTCCTATATAGTTCCTAGTTGAATCTGGGTGCCTGTCTCTGTGATGTTGCTTTTTGTATCCAGGTTAGCCCTCAGTAAAAGTAAGAAGATGGATAGTGCCCTCAGATCACCACTGAGAAGGAAAAACAGCTATTTTTTTTTTTTTTTTTTTTTTTTTTTTATCTTGTGGGGCTGTGCAGTTGGGACTGATCTCCTGTGAGTCCAGGCTTCAGAGAGGTACAAGTGGGCAACAGTAGGTGTCGAGGTGATGCCTACCTATATGAGAAGGCTCTAGGTGTGAGATGACAAGGATTTGGGGAATATCTGTGTTCTTCCACAAAGATCCTGAGAAGCTCTGGAGATTCTTAGTTATGCTTCTGAGTGATTCCAAGGAGATCTCAAGATCAACACAAGCCTAAAGCAGACCCTCGTGCTAGATTAAATAAATAACAGGGTTCTTCTAGATCTATCCCTTGTAAACCTATATCCTCAAGAAATAACTTTTGGTCCCATAATCACCCTTCAAGTGTAGAGGTGGGATGTGGCACCCTGTTGCCTCTGTGGTTGCAGGACATCCACGTTGCATAGCTTACTGTAGTGGTTCTCAAATTTTCTGACTTCAGAACCCATTTACACTCATAGAAAGTATCAAGGACTCTAAAGAACTTTCATGTATCTGGGTCATATCTGTGTTTACTGCACTGGATGCTAAGACTGAGAATATTTTAAACTACAAACATAAACATACAACCCCTAGCCTTCAGGGCTATAACTCTGGAAAACTCTACCATCACACGCATGATAAAATGAGAGAGCAAAGGCAAACAACGTGTTCATGTTTCTGTTAAAGTAATTTTGACCTTGTAGCCTCCTGCAGGGTTCCCAGAGACTCCAGGGGTTCTCAGATCACACTTTCAGAACTGCTTGCTTACTCTGCAAAGTGAGAAATAAGACATCTGGTGGACATTAGTGTAGGACACCACGACTGACATATGGCATTCAGGCAGCCATCAGGGCATTTTTAACCTCACACATATACACTCTTTCTGAGTCACAGAAACGAACTTTCAAGGATTGGGGACGTGGGGACCTAAAGGCAGCTTATATATGCTGTCCACACACCTAAATCTCTAAATGCAGAGGTATTGCCCCCTTGTGAACAGTGAGGCACCTTGTGAAGGATTCTGATCTGCCTAGTGAATATATACAATGCAATGGAGAATAAGCCAGAGTTGAAGCAAGGAGGCTCAGTCTTCTATGATCCTTTCCCTTCTACTTTTCCTAGAGACATAATATGGTACAAATAGCCCCTGAGTTATTGAAGGTCCCCCAACAAACTAAAGATCTATTCATTTAGGCAATGAGTAGGGGTAAGAAATTAGCTCTGAAATCTTTTGTTTTGTTTTGTTTTGTTTTGCTTTGCTTTTATTTTTTTCTTTTCTTTCTTTTCATAGATCTTGGGAAACAATATCTCTGAAATCTTAATATTGATAGACCAATTCTTATACTTTCTCTGTCAATTAGAGAGGTATTATTATAGTTATTGAACGATTTTAAGAGAAATAGAAAAAAATGAGATAAGCAGTGACTGAATCACCAATAGTCTCAGTTCTTGTATGTCTGAGATGCCAGGTACTTAAATCACATGAGACCAGGCACAGTGGCTCAGGCCAGTAATCCTAGAGGCCAGGGCAGGCAGATCACTTGAGGCCAGGAGTTCAAGACCAGTCTGGCAAACATGATGAAACCCCTGTCTTAAACATTAGCCAGACATGGGGGTGTATACCTGTAATCCCAGCTACTCAGGAGGCTTAGGCAAGAGAATCACTTGAACCCAGGAGGCAGAGGGTGCAGTGAGCTGAGATCGCACCACTGCACTTAAGCCTGGGTGACAGAGTGAGGCATCCCAAAACAAGAAAAAAATCACACAATTTTGTACATGGTATGATCCACAGGCCTCAGTACTCTATGTAACATCAGTATTAGAAACTCAAAATTTTTAGCATTTTAAAAGTTAAATGTTTTAAAATATGACTGTCAATGAAACTGCTTTTTAATAGTTCTTAAATTTATGTAACTGTTTTCAAAACGCTTTCACTGTTAACTCAGATGATCCTTAAAAGAAATCTAAGTAGGTGAAATAGATAATATTATCCTGGTTTTGCCAACAACGAAACTGAGGCTCAGAGAGTGAAATGGTCAAGTCAAAATTGAAACTCAGTATTCTGTCAAGTCCAATTTCCTATGTTCTGAAATCTTTGCTGATTGGGGATCTTTTTGGTAGTGTTTAAACGCTTTTTAATATTTGACGTATTAAGGGTGAGCTTTGTACTTTTAATGCTTAAGATATTTAGCATCTCTGGCAGGATTCATTTAATATTTTTGTGCATATGCTGCTGAGTTATTCAAATTGATTGTGATAAATTTTTGTCGAGTTACTCATAGTGTGGGTTTTTCTTTCTTTAATAAACTTTTACTAGGATCACACCAGGGTGGGTGCAGATACCTCACAGGATATCCAGCTTTTTGGCATAGGGATTCAGCCTGAGCACTGTGAGATTGACATTGCCTCTGATGGAGACGTCACTCTTACTCCAAAAGAAAATGCAAGGTAAGAAAAGTTCATGGTGACTTCACGTGTCTTGTGTGCCTTATTTTCAGAAGGAGATTGCTGCCTCTTTCTGTTTGCTTTCAGCTGTATTAAAGTTAAGGGTGCCCTGGGTCCTCAGGGGGCCTTGCTTTCTGATTATAGAGAGTGATTACTGTGAAGTCGTGACTATTTTCATATGCGAGTTCTAGTTCCACTTATTCCATAACTCTGAGCTTTAGAACCCTGTAAAGATCAGGAGTCAGATAATGAGATTAAGTGAAAAAAGTAACTAAGTAGAAAATTGGAACTCAAAAATATCATTTTTCTTTGATCAAACTTTACCTGACAGTCCTTTGGCAAATTAACCTTGAATTAACTAGTTATCTCCTCCACCTCCAATGTTCTGTTTTGTTTTTAAATACCAGAAAATTGGCTAGGTGGGATGGCTCACACCTGTAATCCCAGCACTTTGCGAGGCTGAGGCGAGAGTATCGCTTAAGCCCAGGAGTTCAAGGCCAGCCTGGGCAGTATAGTGAGATACCATCTCTACAGAAAATAAATAAATAAATTAGCCAGGCATGATAGTCGATGCCTGTAATCCCAGCTACTTACAAGGCTGAGGTGGGAGGATCACTCAAGCTCAGGAGGTCAAGGCTACAGTAAGCCATGATCATGCCACGGCACTCCAGCCTGGGTTACAGAGCGAGACCCTGTCTCAAAAAAAAAAATAGAAAAATATAATGAAACCCTATGCATGGACCCATCCTTCAGGTTCAAAAAATGAACACCTCATAGACAATTTTGTTATTTATATGCTTTCCATATCTCCTTCTCCTTCCTCTACCTTCAAATTATTTTAAAGCAGGCCAGGAGCAGTGGCTCACACCTGTAATCCCAGCACTTTGGGAGGTCAAGGCAGGCAGATTGCTTGAGTCCAGGAATTCAAGACCAGCCTGAGCAACATGGCGAAATCCCATACTCTACAAAAAATTAGCTGGTGTGGTGGTGCACACCTCTGGTCTCAGCTACTTAGGAGGATGAGGTGGGAGGATCACCTGACCCCAGGAGGTTGAGGCTATAGTGAGCCATAATTGCATAATTGCGCTCCAGCCTGGACAACCAGAGTAACACTCTGTCTCAAAAAAAAAAAAAAAATTATTTTTTAAATTTATTTTGTGACAGAGTCTCATTCTGTTGCCCCAGCTGGAGTGCAGTGGCAAGATCTCGGCCTACTGCAACCTCTGCCTTCCGGGTTCAAGCAAACCTCCTGCCTCGGCCTCCCAAGTAGCTGAGATTATAGGCACCCACTACCACCCCCCCCCCACCATAGGGGGAAAAAATACTTTAAAGCAGATTCCAGATTTTATAACATTGTATCCATAAATATCTCAGTATGTCTCTCTAAAAGATGAAGATTCTTAAAAATAGTTTCACTATCACCATACCTAAAATAACAGTAATTCCTTATTAACCATCATATAGCCAGTCAGTGTTCAGATTTCCCCAGTTGTCTCATCAGCGTTCTTTTTCCGCTGTTTCTTGAAATTAGGATCCAGATCAGATCCTACCATGGTTTTATAGTATTCCTCCTTAGATCTCTTTTACCAAATGGGTTTCCTCTTTCTCTCCTCTCTCTCTCTTTCTCTCTCTCTCTCTCTCTCTCTCTCTCTCTCTCTCTCTCTCTGTATGTGTTTGTCTCTGTCTCTCTGCCTTTCTCTCTTCTTCTTCGTATTTTGTTTGCCAAAGTCACCTCATTGTTGATCCTAGAGGTTCCCACGGTCAGGATTTTGCTCAGCGCATCCCATGGCATCATTTCATATCCTCTATTCTTTGTATTTCGTAAATTGGCATTTACATGTGGAAACTTGATCAGGTTCAGTTCAAATTTTGACAAGAATAGCCATGGATGATGCCAGGGTACTGGGTGGCTATGGGTGGTGCTTTCTGTCTCCATCAGGAGTGCATGGTGTCAGGTTATCACTCTCTGAGGGATGTTGGCAGCCCTTGGTCCTCATGGATCAGATCGTGTGTCTTCATAGTGGTTACACATTCTGCTCTTCCTTCTTTAAGTAGTAGTTGGAATGCATTTTTTATTAAGAGAAAGCTCCCCTAGTTATCTCTTTGGCTGCCAGGGCAGGGTCTTGTGCTCGTTCCCGTTGACCTGGTATTTTCCCTCATGTTCTCTCAGGTCCTGTGTGAACGGCACCCTTGTGTGCAGTACCACCCAGCTGTGGCATGGTGACCGAATCCTATGGGGAAATAATCACTTTTTTAGGTAACGTCTTTGTGTTCTGTGATATATTTTCTTATACTTTTTTTCTGTTATCTGTTTAAGTGTAAAACAAGTTGATTTTCTCTAATGGTGAAAAACCCCACAGAATAAACTTACCTAAGAGGAAGCGCCGAGATTGGTTGAAAGACTTTGAAAAAGAAACGGGTCCACCGGAGCATGACCTGGATGCAGCCAGTGAGGCTTCCTCTGAACCAGACTATAACTATGAATTTGCACAGATGGAAGTTATCATGAAAACTCTGAATAGTAATGGTAAGACCCACACTCCGTAGTCCAGTGTCTTGGGTATTTCCTCATCTCACACCATTTAGTGAGGGATAAGCATGCATAAGGTGTCATTCCACGTTCCACATTTAGACACATAAAACTGCTCATTTCTTTAAAAGGCCATCAGTGAATGACTAATGACAAGATTTAGAGGAGATGGTCTTCTCCCTCAGTTATAACCAGGATATGGATTGTCCCGTTTTTGAGACCTCTTCTTCCCAAGCCAATTGTGGTAACGTTTCCACACGCCTAGAGTACTGAATGATTTTGACAGAATTCCTTACCAAATTTCTCATTATGGAGCTTGTCATATCTGAATCCTTGAGAATGTGAAAATCCCCAAGAGAATATAAATTCAAGAATTTCAAATAGAATCTAATGGAAAGATAAAAGTCACAGCTTTTCAGCATTTTAGTATAAACTCAATTGGAAATTTTACCCCAAAGGTACTTATTTAATAAGCCCAGATCACTTTTACAAAAATGATAGTGAAAATAAATTCAGGAATTGCACGTCGAATCTAATGGAAAGATAAAAGTCGTAGCATTTTAGTGTAAACTCAGTTGGAGATTTTTCCTCAAAGATACTTATTTAATAAGCCCAAATCACTTTTACAAAAATGGTAATGAAAATAAATGCTTTATAGCCTCTTTGACTTACACTCCAAGTTTCACATCTAAAAATCCATGTTCCTTCACATTTTCTTTCTTCTTCTATCTATACACACCTGCCTGCATTAAATAAAACACACCAAATTCTTTCCCTTTTTGCTGTTTTATAAATTTGCCTTTTCTTTTCCCATCTCCCTGTCTCTTAATTGCTAGACTTGATGACTGAGACTTAGAAGCCAGACAGCAGTGTTCTCCTATGACCAGGCACAAGATGACATTCCTGGGACTAGAAGGATTTTATGGGGATAAACTGAGGCTGCATTTAGGGACACCTGAGAAGATAGTTTGTAGGCTCAGTCCAACCTCCCCTTCCCATTTATCTGATCTTGCAGCACCTGAGGTTCCCATCTTGAACCAGGCTGGACCTCCAGGGCCTGGAGGACCCTAAGACAGGCAGCTGCTACCCGGCAAGGGACTTGGAGAGCATTTTGTTTTTCACAGTTGAGCCTCTTCCCTTAAATATTGGCTTTCTCACTTTACTTTTTGAATAAGCCTATCTAGGAAGAATTTGAGCTTAGAGAATTTTGGCATATGTGCTGCCAAGGCAAGCACATGGTGAGATAATTATCAGTCAGATCTCTGGCACATCAGAATGGAGATTCTGTTGCAGGAATAAAGCTTTTGGTGTTTTCATTGATTTCTGTTTATGAAGTTTGTGCCTCAGGGGGCCTCTTTTTTTATTTATTAAAATGAAATATAGGACCAGGCACCATGACTGGAGCCTGTAATCTCAGCACTTTGGGAGGCCAAGACGGGCAAATCACCTCAGGTCAGGAATTCAAGACCAGTCTGACCAACATGGCAAAACCTGTCGCTACTAAAAATACAAAAATTAGCTGGGTGTGGTGGCACACGCCTGTAATCCTAGCACTTTGGGAGGCCAAGACAGGCAGATCACTTGAGGCCAAGACCTGAAGACCAGCCTGGACAATATAGTGAAACCCCATCTCTGCTAAAAATACAGAAATTACCCAGGCATGGTGGTGTGCCTATAATCCCAGCACTTTGGGAGGCTTAGATGGGCAGATTACTTGAGACCAGGAGTTTGAGACCACCCTGGCTAACATGGCGAAACCCCATCTCTACTAAAAATACAGAAATTACCCAGGTGGCACATGCCTGTAATCCTAGCTACTTGGGAAGCTGAAGCACGAGAATCACTTGAACCTAAGAGGTAGAGGTTGCAGTGAGCTGAGATCACGCTACTGCACTACAGCCTGGGCAACAGAGCCAGAATCTGTCTCAAAAAAGAAAGGAGAGAGAGAGAGGGAGAGGGAGAGGAGGAGAAGGAAGAGAAGGAGGAAGGAAGGAAAGAGAAAAAGAAAGAAAGAAAAAAATGGAAAGAAAGAGAAAGAAAGAAAAGACAGAAGGAAGAAAAGGCCAGACTGTGAAAAACAAGTGTGATGTATTTATATGAAGCGTAAAGAGGCCAGGTGCAGTGGCTCATGCCTGTAATCCCAGCACTTTCGTAGACTGAGGTGGGTGGATCACCTTAGGTCAGGAGTTCAAGACCACCCTGGCCAACATGACGAAACCCTGTCTCTACTAAAAATACAAAAGAAAATTAGCCAGGCATGGTGGCAAGTGCTTGTAATCCCAGCCACTTGGGAGGCTAAGGCAGGAGAATCGCTTGAACCAAGGAGGTGGAGATTGCAATGAGCCAAAATCACGCCATTGCACTCCAGCCTGGGCAGCGAGCGCACACACACACACACACACACACACACACACACACACACATATATATATATAGAACCACAAAGAAAACATGGGGAAAAAACAACTTTATGAGAAAAGCTTGTCGATTTCTGCCTTTAAACAGTAAGAGTAGGGTGTTAAGATTAATAGGGTGTCAGTTTTAGCCCTGCAGTACAGGGTGGACCATAGCTAGAAATCAAGCTTCACTCCACTCTCCCACTTCCCCACCAGTTGGGAGGAATCCCAGACATTACAAAGTGATGTTCAGACATCAGAATCACATTAATGGGTCATTTAACAACCTGCCTGAGCAACAAGTCTTCTGTGAGTGATCTTTTGGAAGCCTGAGTGGATACACGGTGTGCAGGAGAATGTAGACTCCAAACTCCAGTTGGAGGAACTCCCGTTGGAGAGGGCTCATTGCTTCAGCTGATGTCACAGATCTAGACATCTCTAGTCACTAACTCTGCAGAGTTTGGAAGTGGTATCAATTTAGTCATGTATCCATCCCAGACCATAGGTTTCTTATTTTAATCAATTGCTACCTGCTTATATATAAATTAACTCCTTGAATAACCAATGAGTATTTAGTAAGTATTCATTAATTCCTCTGATCCTCTCAGCCAAACCAATAGTCATCAGGGACCTGATGCACAGTGTTAACATGAGTTACTCTTTTGTATCCAGATCGGGCCTTGCTCTCCAGTGTTGCTTTTATCCATATAGAAGTCATGTTTATGGCCGGGCACAGTGGCTCATGCCTGTAATGCCAACACTTTGGGAGACTGAGGTGGACGGATCACTTGAGGTCAGGAGTTCAAGACCAGCTGGGGATCAGAGGCAAAACAAAAACCCAGTGCCTACGCCTCCACCAGAGCTGCGTGTGGTGAGGGCAGATCTAGGCATTCCAGGAATGAGGCTTACAAGACTTACAAGACAACATGGTGAAACCCAGTCTCTCTTAAAAATACAAAAATTTAGCTGGGCATGGTGATGCATGCCTGTAGTCCCAGCTATTTGGGAGGCTAAGACAGGAGCATTGCCTGAACCCAGGAGGTGGAGGCCACAGTGAGCTGAGATCGCTCCATTGCACTTCACCCTGGGTGACAGAGCAAGACTTGGTCTTAGGGAAAAAAAAAAAAAAAAAAGATATGTTTCCCCCTACCCCACCCTTTACCCAGTTCCAGTGGAGCTTCCCTCTGGGACATACACACAGTCTCTGACGCAAGTGCTGACATGCTGGTGGCTGGATAGTGTTCTCTGTGATTCCTCTCTACTGCTAGGTGGCTTCCCGATAATAAGCCTGTCTGCCTGGTGGTCATCCCCTTGGTGGTCTTATTTGAAGATCCTCTTCCCTCTCATGTGGTTTCAGACGAAGCTCCTCCACAAACACTGGGATAAAGGTTTTTAACAGATTGGCATTGGCATGAGGGAGCTTGGCTGGCTTTTAGCATTGCTACTGTTTGATGCTTATGCTCCATGCTTTGGTAAAAATCTAACTAACATGATTGGGAAGAAGCTGGAGTTTTCTGGCTGATGAAGGTGCTCTGTATTCTTCATTGAGGAATGTTCCTTTTCAGTTACGAACATCCCCCCCACCAGCACACACACAGACACACTCACTCCCAGATTTCGGTTAAAATCTAACAGCAGCTATTCTTCTCTGTGCTTACAACAGGATGGAAAAGTATTATGGTATTATTACTGCTGTTACTGATGGCTTCATTGCTGTTGACAGCAGAGCAATTCTCAGTGGTACTTTCAGACATATATTCACCTACATTATCCCAGTAGTAGGTTAGAATAATGTATTTTTGAGTTTCTAGAGTCAATACTGATCTAAAGCCCAATTCATTTGAATTAAAAGTAAAAAGAAACCTAGTATCTATGGACAATAATGCCTTCTTCCCAAGGGTTAGAATAGGAATCAAACAAAATAGGAATCATCTCTTTTTTCAATGTCAATGGCAGCTCTAAAGAAAGAGCAACGTTGACAAGTACAGTGTCACTCTTCTGTAATCCCAGCACTTTGGAAGGCCGAAGTGGGAGGATTGCTTGAGGCCAGGAGTTCGAGACCAGCCTGGGCAGCATAGTGAGACTTCATCTCTACAAAAAAATTGGGAGAAAGAGTTCTTTTTTTCTCTGCAAAGACCTATTTCCCTTCAATTCAGTATTTTAGACAATTTGGTGTGAATTAATTCTAATTCTCTTTCTCATATAATTATCCCCCCACCAGCACCACTATCAGTGCCATTTTCTCTTTTCCATTCTTGGGATGATGGGTCAGTTTGAGCTCATTGCATAGTTATCTACTAAGTAAAGGAAAAACTCATGAGGACAAGAAAATGGTATGCCCGAAGTGAATGTGGTCCTTTCTTTCTTCCTAAAATTCTTAACCTCTTTGAGATCTTGGCTTTGGCTACCTGGCTCACTCAATTTTAAAACAGTTCATTCAAGAGAAGGAAAGTGATGGGAAAAATAAACCTGTAGGCAATCTCTTGATATTTGGTTGGTATTTTGAGAAAGGGCTGAATAATCTTTGGATTCTGTCCTGGGCCACATCATAGAGTCAGATCGACTTGGTGATTTGGATGGTCTATTTTAAAATATGCTGTGTGTAAGAGTTAAGACTTGAAACTGGTTAATTGATTTGAAAAGACAATGCCATCAAAGATGTCTGTGAGAAAGGTGTTTCTAGACTAACGTTGGGAATCAGAGGCGAAACAAAAACCCAGCCCCTAAGCCTCCACCAGAGAGCTGTGTGTGGTGAGGGCAGATCAGGGCGTTCCGGGAATGGGGCTTACAGGACTAAACTGTGGGAGTCTCAGAGGAAGGACACATTGAGCTGCTCTCTCTTCTGTATCTGCACTTCAATTTGTAGCCACTCATCCTGCCTGGTGAGTAGTGTTAGTGCTGTGTCATGACAGCGACTGGTGCGGTTTTAAACAGCCTCGCTCACTTGGCCTGTGTCAGCATGGAACCTTGGGGTGAGATCCCTTCTGTCCCAGCCATTTGGGATCATGTGTGTTTCTGCACTACTGACTAACAATGGAAATATGGATTATATATTTTATTCAGTATCTCGTAGCAAAAACCCTATAATGCATTTTTATAAAATGGTGTGTTTTCCAGTTTCTCTGGAAAAGATTTATAAACACTAAGTTAGGACAGTTGGGCTCTGTCTAAATATAAATTTCTGGCAAGTACCGTAGTACCCTGTCCTTTCTTTTTAAAACCCAGAGCCTATATACTGTTTGAGAAATATGTGTATATATTTTTTAATTCTGAAAGAACTTTACTTCTCTAGAGCTTACATTTAAAATGTCTTCAGATGCCCTCAAAAAATTTTACCGTATTTCTAACATTTTTTTTTTTTAGAAGTTGTAGGACTTTGTCAGCAGTTCTGATGCTTAGGAATACATAGAGTGTTACTCTATAAATAATGTTTTACCCACCCAGGATCTACTTTTGCATAAGATTTTGGTTGGTTGGTTGGTTGGTTGGTTGGTTGGTTTTTGTTTGTTTGGGTTCCCCCCCGCCCAGTTTACTTTAAAAAAATTTTTTTTGCGTGATGAGTCTCACTCTGTCGCCTAGTCTGGAATGCAGTGGCGCCATCTCAGCTCACTGCAGCCTCTGCCTCCAGGTTCAAGTGATTCTCCTGCCTCACCCACCCAAGTAGCTGGGACTACAGGTATCCGCCGCCACACTGGGCTACTTTTTTTTTTTTTTTTTTTTTTGAGACAGAGTTTCGCTCTTGTTACCCAGGCTGGTGTGCATTGGCGCGATCTCAGCTCACCGCAACCTCCGCCTCCTGGGTTCAGGCAATTCTCCTGCCTCAGCCTCCTGAGTAGCTGGGATTACAGGCACGTGCCACCATGCCCAGCTAATTTTTTGTATTTTTAGTGGAGACGGGGTTTCACCGTGTTGACCAGGATGGTCTCGATCTCTCGACCTCGTGATCCACCCGCCTCGGCCTCCCAAAGTGCTGGGATTACAAGCTTGAGCCACCGCACCCGGCCTTGGGCTGCTTTTTAATAGAGACAGGTTTCACCATGTTGGCCAAGCTGGTCTTGATCTCCTGGCCACAAGTGATTGCCCGCCTCAGCCTCCCAAAGTGTGAGCGTGAGCCACCACACTCGGCCCCCAGTTTATTCTCCATCAGCTTTTTAAATGATATATTTTAGGGACTCTTACATCAGGATTCTATGAAGAATTTTTTCTTTGAAAAATTTTTTCTTTTCAGCTTTTTTTCTTTGAAAAAAAAATGCTAAATTTTAGGATTTTATATCAACAAAACAGTATTGTTTTTAGAAGTATCACTCTTTACAGAACACTAAATGTAAGCAAAACACTGGGGATAAGAATACCACATCAGTTTATTACCAAGTGAATGTCCTACCCCAGCCAATTGGTTAATTAGTTATCTGAGTTCAAAACCTGACCCTGTCACTTTGTAGCTATGTGAGGTAGATCAGCTATTTCGCCTTTCTGAGCCCCATTATTTCCTTATTTTTAAAATCAGGACGATATCCACACTTAGGCTTGTTGCAAAGCTTTCATGGTGATGCATGCAAAGCAGGTAGAACCACTACCTGAGATGTAGCTGGGAGCTAGTAGAGTTATTGTTGCCATTGTGGTTGTCATTTTTATTAAAACAACTCACCTGTACTGAGCTTTTCTTGAAATTAAAAAAAAAATTATTTCTCTTTGTTTTGAATTATTTTTGGAAGCTAATATGTTATCTTTTTCTCTTAATACTAATATAGAAAATTAGTACCATTTACATGTGTATTTTACAAGTTGATAGGATAACTTGGAAAAGTCAGTCAATAGCTATCATCAGATAATATAAAAATTCCTCCTGAGTCACTAATTTTCAGTTTCTTTTCTGGAAATTAAACTGAGTGCCAGTGTGTGGGAACAGCATAAATGGCACTGAATAGCAGGCAAATGTGTGAATGTACAAGGAGGAAGTCATGTCCCAGGCTGGTCTGAGAATGCATCTCTCCGGGATATACTTCTGGGAAATATTAACTGTGATGATGATTTTCTTGTTCTACTAGGAGATTGCCTAACATTCTGCTTCCCTACACTGTCCTCACTTAGTCATGTCAGTAACTTTCTCCTTTTGTACCTGTGGCTTGAGCCTTGATCTTCCCACAGTGTCTAGCTCATTGGTCATTACCAAGTTAATGTCCTGCCCAGCCTATTAGCATTTTAAAGTCTAGTCTTGCCTACACCACAACTATCAGGGTGGCTCATTGGAGCAAGATCTGTTAGTATGTCTATACCTTTTCACCCATGTGCATTGTGGTGAGTGCTGTATCTGTACATGTGAGATGCTTGAAACAGGTTTTTATTATTTTTGCAAGTAAATTGTCCTTTTAGATATTAGTCTGAGAAATTGCCAGACCATATCCTTAACCAATATTTTTAAACACATACTGGGATCTCTAAGTTTCCTCCCACCTTAGAGAAATTCAGGAGTAATAAGATTTGTAATGAAAGTCATAAATCTTTGTCATATACCAAAACCAATATTAAATGGACATAGAAATGAATGACCATAAAGAAAGATGAAATCTTATGTGCTTCTGTGTTTGGAGTCGTCCTAGATTTCGTGAATTTTTTCTTCCCAGTGAACAGGATCGCATTCCCCTCTCTTCCTCTATCTGCTGGTAGTAGATTAATGATTTATCTAAACATTAGGATGAGCTCATTAAATTGAAGAAAGTCACATAGAGGATGTGGAGAACGTATACATATAGAGCATTTATCTGCAGTGTCAATAACAAGGAATTTGAGAGGATTTCACTGATTAGGCCTCTCACAGAAAGCACACTGACATTGCTAGATTCTGGGGCAGAAAAGGGTTCTGGCTAGAGGAAGTCCCCACCGGCTGTAGTGCCTGGTATGAATACTTGTCTTAGCCGCCGCTAAGACACTTTGCCTTGTCTCTTGGCTCACTAGACCCAGTTCAAAACGTGGTTCAGGTCCTGGAGAAACAATACCTAGAAGAAAAGAGAAGTGCCCTAGAGGAGCAGCGGCTCATGTATGAGCGGGAACTGGAGCAACTCCGCCAGCAGCTCTCCCCCGAGAGGCAGTCGCAGAGCAGCGGCCCCGACCGCCTGGCCTACAGCAGCCAGACAGCGCAGCAGAAGGTGACCCAGTGGGCAGAGGAGAGGTAAGAACTGCAACTTGGGAAGCCCACAATCAAGGCTCCAAGGCCGTGGGGCTTTGAGGGAGGGGGTTGTGAGATGTGTCAGGGACAAACCTAGCAAAGAGAGAACTCTTATTCCCACATCTGACTTACTGGCAATTAGCTTTTCCTTTGACCAATGCTGTCTACCCTAAGTATGTTTACTATGATGTTAGCTGTTAAGGGTCCCTCCTACCCCCACAACCCTTTAGCCTTCAGTAAAAATGATGCCAGGTTGCAAGCCTTGGACAGGCAAGTATGGAAATTTAGAAAGTTTGAATAATTTCTGTAACACAAAAGCATCTTTTCTTATTTTTTGTTTCTCATACTTTAGAATCTATTTAAATACAACTTCAGTGCTGATTAATCTACTCAATGTGAATGTTTAAGATTTATGGCTGGGTACAGTGGCTCACACCTGTAATCCTAGCACTTTGGGAGGCTGAAGTGGGAGGATCACTTTAGCCTAGGAGTCTGAAACCAGCCTAGGCAACATAGTGAGACCTTGTCTCTACAAAAGATAAAGATGACCCAGGCACAGTGGTGCATGTCTATAGGGTGACTGGGAAGATCGCTTGAGCCCAGGAGTTTAAGACCAGCCTGGGCAACATAGTGAGACCTCATCTCTACAAAAAAATAAAAAATTATTACAGGCATGATGGCACATGCCTGTAATCCCAGCTACTTGGGAGGCTAAGGTAGGAAGGTCACTTGAGCCCCAGAGATAAAGGCTTCAGTGAGCTGTGATCATGCCACTGCAATCCAGCCTGGGTGACAGAGAAAGAACCTGACTCAGGCTGGGTGTGGTGGCTAACACCTGTAATCCCAACACTTCGGGAGGCTGAGGTGGATGGACTGCCTCAGGGCAGGAGTTCAAGACCAGCCTAGCCAACATGGTGAAACCCCATCTCTACTAAAAATAGAGGAAAAAAAATCAGCCAGGCGTGGTGGCAGGCACCTGTAATCCTAGCTACCCAGGAGGCCAAGGCAGGAGAATTGCTTGAACCCAGGAGGCGGAGGTTGCAGTGAACTGAGATCACACCATCACACCCCAGCCTGGGCAACAAGAACAAGACTTCTTCATTTCAAAAAAAAAGATTTATGACTTTAAAATATTCATATCAGAACTCTCAAAGGAGGGAAGGGTGGAGGAAATGGTAATCGTAATAATCTCCACCACCGCAATAAGGACAACAGGTTATTGCAGATTTCTATTGTGTTCTTGCCATAGTCCAGGCATTTTATTTAACATCCCAGCAGCACTACAGCATAGGAACTATTATCCCTTCTCATAGGTCAGGCAATCAGTTTAAATATCTGGCCTTAATCAGTCATCCAGTAAATGAAGAAGCCAGAGTTTGAACCCAGGTCTCTCTGCAGTCCCCTAATAACGCCTGTGTTATGATAATAATTAACAATCGTAGAAAAAGCAGTACCTAACATCTACAGATCACTTATACCATGTCCCAGGTGCTAATTGCTGTTCCTCTGTTCCTCTGATCCTCACAACGACTACCTTTACACATAAGGAAACTGAGGCCGAGGGGTTAAATGATTTGCCCAGATGGTCAGTTAGCTGGTAAGTTAGGTGATGGCATCAGAGCAATGGCAGTCTGACTCTAGAGCTCTTCCTGTACTCACACACATAGTGTGTCTCTCACTAGCAGTGAGATGCAGAATACAGGCCACACCTGGGGGAGGTGACTCCCAAGAGGAGAAAAGGGAACCCTGCCTGGCAGGGAAAGGCTCACAGCAGTCATGCACTTGTTAATGTTAAGTAGAGAAGAGAGTCAGCTACATTTTCCCCTGGAGCTACCCGTTTACCTGTCTGGATAGTGATATAGGAAGATTTGTCATACTTATGTACCTTTCTGGTTTTTTTTTTTTTTGAGGCGGAGTTTCACTCTTGTCACCCAGGCTGGAATGCAATGGTGTGATCTCCGCTCATTGCAACCTCTGCTTCCCAGGTTCAACCAATTCTCCCACTGCATCCTCCCTAGTAGCTGGGATTGCAGATGCCTACCACCACACCTGGCTAATTTTTATATTTTTAGTAGAGATGGCTTTTCACCATGTTGGCCAGGCTGGTCTCGAACCCTTGACCTCAGGTGATCCACCCACCTAAGCCTTACAAAGTGCTGGGATTACCATCATTAAGACCTTATGTTACTCTTTATGCTTTGTTGTGCATGAAAGAAACAGACAAAGGCTATCAGATGGTCCTTTTTCTGAAGAACACATTTCCTATGAGCTGGTGGCTTTACGCCAAGCAACAGCTAGCTGTTGAGGGTAACTGGCATAATTGTACCCATTAATATCCTTTCTATTTACTAAAGAATATAAAAGCAAGAGTATCTTCAAAAGAAGATACATGTGGCCAACAAAGCATATTAAAAAGTGTTCAATATCACTAATCATTAGGGAAATCCAAATCAAAACCACGATGAGATACCATCTCACACCAATCAGAATGGCTCTTTTTAAGAAGTCAAAAAATAACAGATTCTGCAAAGTTACAAAGAAAAGGAAACCCTTATACCCTGTTGGTGAGAGTGTAATTAATTCAACCATTGTGAAAAGCAATGTGGCAGTTTTTCGAAGAGCTAAAAACAGAATTATCATTTTACCCAGCAATCTCACTACTGGGTAATATATACCCAAAGAAATATAAATTGTTCTACGATAAAGACACATGCATGTGTATGTTCATTGCAGCACTGTTCACAATAGGAAAGACATGGAATCAACCTAAATGTCCAATGGTGACTGGATAAAGAAAACATGATACATATACACCATGGAATACTATGCAGCCATAAAAAAGAACAAGGTCATGTCCTTTGCAGGAACATAGATGGAACTGGAGGCCATTATTCTCAGAAAACTAATGCAGGAAGAGAAAACCAGATACCACGTGTTCTCACTAATAAGTGAGAGCTAAATCATGAGAACCCATAGGCAGAAAGAGGGGAACAAGAGATACTGGGACCTGTGGGAAGAGAAAGGAGAGGCTCCAAAAAAAAAAAAAACAAAAAAACCTGCCAGTAATATGCTTACTACCCAGGTAATGAAATAATCTGTACATCACACCCCTAAGTCATGAGTTTACCTATATAGCAAACCTGCACATGTACCTCTGAACCTAAAATAGAAGTCAAAATATTGAAATTTTTTTAAAAAGTATCTGGCATAGAAGGTGGTTTTCTTTTAATCTTAGTGTTTTTCAGTTAAATAGTTAAAAAAATACTTTTTTTTTTTTTTCATTTCCCTTAATTCCAGATTGATTTTCTTTGGGGCTTAAAATCTTTAAAAAAAAAAAAAAAAAAAAAAAAAAAAACCCTATAGAAGCCAGGTATGGTGGCACATGCCTATAGTCTCAGCTACTCCAGAGGCTGAGACAGGAGGATCACTTGAGTCCAGGAGTTTCAAGCTGTACTGCACTATGAGCATGCGACTGAATAGCCACTGCACTCCAGCCTGGGCAACATAGGGAGACCCTATCTCCAAGAAAGAGAGAAAAAGAGAGAGAGAAGAAAAGAAAGAGAAAGGGAGGGAGAGAAGGAAGGAAGGAAGAAAAAAAATGAAGACAAGGATGGCCGGGCGCAGTGGCTCAAGCCTGTAATCCCAGCACTTTGGGAGGCCGAGGCGGGTGGATCACGAGGTTGAGAGATCAAGACCATCCTCGTCAACATGGTGAAACCCCGTCTCTACTAAAAATACTAAAAATTAGCTGGGCATGGTGGCGTGTGCCTGTAATCCCAGCTACTCAGGAGGCTGAGGCAGGAGAATTGCCTGAACCCAGGAGGCGGAGGTTGCGGTGAGCCGAGATCGCGCCATTGCACTCCAGCCTGGGTAACAAGAGCGAAACTCCATCTCAAAAAAAAAGAAAAGAAGACAAGGAGATATTTTGGGATTCTCATTCAAAGACATAAGAATAGTTGCCTTATTGATTTTTGTTAGGTTTCACTGGATAAAATTAAGATGTTATTAATTGTATGTCGTTATATAAGAAGCTAGAACTCTTACCTAAGTACATGTTGATGGGTTGTGAAATAATGAAGGACTCTTTACCTACATGAATGTTGATGGGTTGAGAATCAAGTATACTTAAACACTGGTAGGAATTACAAAGAAAGCTACAGATATCATTTATTCTCTTTGTACACTTAGAATTTAGTATGAAACAAGATATAAACTTGTGAAAACTTAAGTCATAGTAAATGAAAGAACGGTTTTATTCAACAATAGGAAATGTTACGATTATATATTAATAGTTATTTGTGTGTGTTCTATCTCCTACCCTGGAAAATAACTTCCAGGGGACCGGGAACCCATTTCATTTATTGAAGTATCGCTATTGTCTCGAATGATGTGGTCACTTGGTGGATATTTAGTAAATATCGTGTGCATTGATTGTGTGAATGTATTGAGTGACAAGCAAGCATGTAATCACCTGGTGGGCAGACTGCACAGTAAGCTTGTTGGTTGTTCAGCGGAAGATGAAACCTCAGTGAAGCTGAGTCTTCTACAGAGATATTCAGGGAGATGGAAGGATTTCAAGTGCATTTGAGAGGCAGAGTCTGACCAGCAGAGAAAAAGTAGAAGGACATTTTGGATGGGTGGATTGGCTTGAACAGATGGGAAGCAGTGGAGGACAATAAGATGTATTTGGGACACTGCAAAAGAACTGTTTTGTATAGTCTGGAACAGAGGTCCCCAACCCCTGGACCACAGACTGGTACAGGTCCACGGCCTGTTAGGAACCAGGCTGTACAGCAGGAGGTGAGTGGTGGGCCAGCAAGCGAAGCTTTGTATTTACAGCCACTCCTCTTCGCTGGCATCACCACGTGAGCTCCACCTCCTGTCAGATCAGCAGTAGCATTTGATTCTCAGGGGAACGTGAACCCTATTATGAACTGTACATATGAGGGATCTAGGTTGCATGTTCCTTATAAGAGTCTAAAGCCTGATGATCTATCACCGTCTCCCGTCACCCCCAGATGGGACTGTCTAGTTGCAGGAAAACAAGCTCAGGGCTCTCACCGATTCTACATTTTGATGAGTTGTGTAATTATTTCATCATATATTACAATATAATAATAGAAATAAAGTGTACAATAAATGTAATGTACTAGAATCATCCCAAAACTCTCCCTCTCCACAACATCGGTCCATGGAAAAGCTATCTTCCATGAAACTAGTCTGTGCTGCCAAAAAGGTTGGGGACCACTGTCTAGAAGGTAATTTATGGAAGAGTAGGGAAAATTAAGCTCAAAACTATCAGATAGGGGTTGTGGGAGGCCACAGACTCGGAGTTTGGGATTTATTTTATGGGAGAAGAGGAGCCCTGCAAGGCCTTGAACCAAGGAATGACCTGAGGAAGGCAGGGCTTGATAAGGACTGTCTTGTAGTGGAGCAAGAAGAACATGGGTGCTGTGAGATTATTGGGAAGGGTGTGAGGGACCCGAGCCAGGAATATGATAAAACACACAGAGAGAGACTTAGGAGATGCTTTAAAGGAAGAGTCAACAGGCTTATTTTTTGGACATTGTAGAAAAGAGAAGAGACTGAGCCAACTGAACAAATCTAAGCATGGGTGACTGGGAAAATGATATCACCTTTTTTCTTTCTCTTTTTCCTTTCTTTTCTTTTTCTTTTTCTTTTTTTTTTTTTTTTTTTTTTTTTTTTTAAGAAAGATGAGGTCTTCCTATGTTGCCCAGGCTGGTTTTGAACTCCTGGCCTCAAGTGATCCTCCCACATTGGCCTCCCAAAGCATTGGGTTTACAGGCGTGAGCCACTGCCCCCAACTGGTAATATCGGTAATATTGTTTTAAGAAACTGTTTTCTGGCCGAGCGTGGTGGCTCATGCCTGTAATCCAAGCACTTTGGAGGCCAAGGCGGGCAGATCACCTGAGGTCAGGGAGTTCAAGACCAGCCTGACCAACATGGTGAAACCCCGTCTTTAAAAAAAAAAAAAAAGAAAAAAAGAAACTGTTTTCTTTATATTAGCATCCTCACAGCGTGCGTCCTCTGTCATTTCTAAGGCGATAGGTGAGGAGTAGAGATTTGGATGCTTTGAGCTCATTATTTTTCTATGATGTAAGAGTTTCCTGCAGTGTATAAATGGTGGAAAAGAGAAGTTATATTTGGCACAGAGCGACCACTAGATGGAGTGACTTTTGAACCCAGATTCACATGTGAAATCCAGAAGCACTCTTTTCTTTATTCATTGGGTCTTTTTTGAATATCCTATGATGGGTCGTGCACTTGGTGAGGAACTAGTGTAGTGCAAGCAAAAAAAAAAAAAGGCATGATTCCTGCCCCAGGGCACTTACAGCCTAGTAGGAGACAGATAATACACAAATAATTATACAAGTAAAAATGAAAAGTTCTAACTATGGCAAATGCTATGGAGGCTAAAGGCATGGGGCTGAGAGAATATAGAAGAGGGTTTTGACTAAGTCAGGATATTCGAGAAGCTTTTTATCAGCAAGTAGTATTGTTTAGAGAATTGAAAGGAAAAAAAAGAATTTCTGCTGCTGCAGAACTACGTTACTATGGCATGACTTCTACCAACTGCGGAAGTCATGAAAAATACTTTCATCTAACTCCAGGTTTCTCTCCTCTGCCAACCCTTCCCGGCCCCAGCCCCGCTTCCACAGCACACCCAAGTCATAATCATCGTTTGTTTTTCCCAAAGATTCCCATTTTGGTTTTTTGCATCCTGGCATCACAGCCTGATTGTTTTCGAATGTTACGTAATTTGAAACGTGATTTTCAGTTAAGTCACTCAACAATTTGCTCCCCCATCAGTAGTTCTCAACAGATGGCCCATCTGTGGACAGGAAGGAAGGATTAGAGGTAGTCTGGTAAAATAGTTTTAAAAACACTGCCCGAGAGGAGTTTTCTACCATTGTCTAGTAAGGTGCTTACTTAGAAACGGGATTGCAGTTTTCTTTTAGATTTTCTCATTTCCTTTTCTGTGACACGGCAGGGATGAACTCTTCCGACAAAGCCTGGCAAAACTGCGAGAGCAGCTGGTTAAAGCTAACACCTTGGTGAGGGAAGCCAACTTCCTGGCTGAGGAAATGAACAAACTCACCGATTACCAGGTGACTCTTCAGATCCCTGCTGCAAACCTCAGTGCCAATAGGAAGGTAAGAATGTCCTTCAAGTGAGACAGCAGGATGCACAATAGTCAATATTCTAAAATAGGACCTCACACTGAAACCCCAGAAACGTTCCTGGGGAGATCCTCCTGTCAGCCAGAGGTGTTCATTTTTTTCAAGACATTCTTTATACACCTCGCTGGGTGTGAATGCTATTTAAATGATGTTCTTAGATATGCCTGCTTTTTTTTTTTTTTTTTTCATTAAATGCCCGTTTCTGAAATGGGGGATATGTATAAGCTATAGTACCTTTTTTTTTTTTTTTTTTTTTTGAGACCCAGTCTCGCTCTGTCACCCACACTGGAGTGCAATGGTTGCAATGGCACATCTCAGCTTACTGCATCCTCTGCCTCCCAGGTTCAAGCGATTCTCCTACCTCAACCTCCCTAGTAGCTGGGATTACAGGCACGTGCCACCACACCTGGCTAATTTTTGTATTTTTAGTAGACACAGGGTTTTGCTGTGTAGGCCAGGCTGGTTTAAGTGATCCACCTGCTTGGCCTCCCAAAGTGCTAGGATTACAGGCGTGAGCCACTGTGTGCAGCCAGCTGTGGTACCTTTTTAAGTGTGAATTCCACAAGAAAGGAAGACTTTTTATAATATCTGGCTTCAAATACCCAGAAATGCAGGCATTTAAGAGCTTCCTGTCATTTCACTTCTTGTCATTCATTTTGAAGAATTTTTCCTGTAGGGAAAAACTTTGAAGAAAATTGTTTTTTGTTTTTGTTTGTTTGTTTGAGACAGCTATTCTCTTTCTGCCCAGGCTAGAGTGCAATGGCATGATCTTGGCTCACCACACCCTCTGCCTCCCTGGTTCAAGTGATTCTCCTGCCTCAGCCTCCCAAGTAGTTGGGATTACAGGCATGCACCACCATTCCCAGCTAATTTTATATTTTTAGTAGAGGTGAGGTTTCACCATATTGGCCAGGCTGGTCTCGAACTCCTGACATTAGGTTGTCCACCTGCCTCAGCCTCACAAAGTGCTGGGATTACAGGCATAAGCCACCATGCGCAGCCAGAAATTTTTTTTTCTGTGACTCAGAAAAAAAGAAAAGCAAATTTAAAAAAAAGAAAGAAGGTTACTTTTCATCCATTCATTTCCTTTCAGCAAGCAACCTAGAAAATGAGTCAGGGGGTATCTTATTAGTCTTGCTGGGTTTTAGTCTTTTGATCTAGTAGTTCCCCTCTGAGAAATTTATTCTAAGCCCATAGTCATAGAAGTGTCCATAAAGCTTTATGTATAAGGATGCTTATTATAGTGGACTTTATAATAGCAAAAACATGAAACAGCCATGATGTTGAACAATAGAATAATTAGTCAAATGTGTAGTAAATCCATATGCTATGGATACTGCTATGTTGCTGTTAAAAAATCATGCTTATGGCCAGGCCTGGTGGCTTATGCCTGTAATCCTAGCACTTTGGCAGGCCAAGGTGGATGGATTGCTTGAGCACAGGCATTCGAGACCAGCCTGGGCAACGTGATGAAACCCCATTTATACAAAAGAATACGAAAAAATAATAATAATAGCCAGCCATGGTGTCACATGACTGTAGTCCCAGCTACTTGGGAGTCTGAGGTGAGAGGATTGCTGGAGCCTAGGAAGTTGAGGCTGCAGTGAGCCAGGCTCATGTCACTATACTCCAGCTTGGGTGACAGAGCAAGACCCTACCTCAAAAAAAAAAAAAAAAAAAGACATGCTTATGAAGAATGTTAAATAATACAAGAAAAGTGATCACGGTATCAAAACTCGTGAGAGGGTTGGGGTGTGAAATTATACTTTTGTTTGGTGTTGATTGTGATAAAAATTAAAAAGTGTGCATGAGTATACATAGAAGATGGGAAATAAACCAGAATATCTCCTAAGTGGTAGAATTTTATCTTCTTTTGTATACTTTTATGTGTTTTGCAAACTTACTCTGTTACTGTTGTATATATATTGCTTTAGCATTTAGCAATCAAAAAAGGAGTTATAATGGTGTTTGTTTTGTTTATCTTCCTTATGCAGAGAGGTGCAATAGTGAGTGAGCCAGCTATCCAAGTGAGGAGGAAAGGAAAGAGCACCCAAGTGTGGACCATTGAGAAGCTGGAGAATAAATTAATTGATATGAGAGACCTTTACCAAGAATGGAAGGAAAAAGTTCCCGAGGTAAAAGAGACAAAATGTAAAGGAGATTGGGTTATGTTAAAAACAGAGAATATGGGCCGAGAGTGGTGGCTCATGCCTATAATCCCAAAACTTGGGGAAGCTGAGGTGGGCGGATCACCTGAGGTCAGGAGTTCGAGACCAGCCTGGCCAACATGGTAAAACCCTGTCTCTACTAAAAATACAAAAATTAGCTGGGCATGGTGGCAGGAGTCTGTAATCCCAGCTACCTGGGAGGCTGAGGCAGGAGAATTGTTTGAACCTGAGAGGCAGTGGAGGTTGCAGTGAGCTGAGATCGCACCATTGCACTCCAGCTTGGGAGACACAGGGAGACTGTCTCAAAAAAAAATTTTTAATTTAAAAATAAACAGACTGTAAGTGATTTAAGCATCACACACACAGAGAAGTGCTGGTGATATATTAGGAGAATAAAGTACAAGTGGTTTTGAAAGAAGTGCTAAGTTGGATCAGTAATAAAACATGTGATCCCCACACAGATGGGAACTAAATGAAGAAAACATATAGTAGATTCTTATTTGGCTTCATGTTTACTACATTTCAAGTAAAAAGAAGTAGAATGAAGTAAATGTATGCCATTTTGTCAGTGCTGTGAAAAATCAGCTTGGCTGGAGCCAGTGTGGATTTTGCATTCACTGATGTGTGTTCGTGCACCCCTAGCTGTGATCGTGGCTGCATTACTAAGAGTAATTTTAGCTTGCATAATCCATTGTTTGGACATTAGCAGTGGGAAAGAAGACTTGGCAAGGGAGATGAAATGAAAAAGCTGCAGATGAGGTGAATAGGGAAGACAAGGCAGGAACTGAAGAGGAATCCTCTGCACAGGCATCACTTAGCTCACCAACAAATAGGCCCCTCCCATGGGCTAATCGTTTTCCTTCTTCTTCTTTTTTTTTTTTTTTTTAGTGGAGACAGGGTCTTGCTCTGTCACCCAAGCTGGAGGGATGTGATCTCAGCTCACTGAAACCTCCATCTCCTGGGTTCAAGCAAAGCAATTCTTGTGCCTCAGCCTCCTGAGTAGCTGGGACCACAGACATCTGCCTCCATGCCTGGCTAATTTAGTTTTTATTTATGTGACATTCTAATTTTACTTCCTGTTTCAATGGGTAGATTCTTTAATTCTTTTTTTTTTTTTTTTTCAAATGCTAGTTTTAAATAATATGATTTAAATTGATATTGTGTTTCTTATTCATCCACCCACTGGCTCCTCCTACTGCTCAGGCCAAGAGACTCTATGGGAAACGAGGTGACCCTTTCTATGAAGCCCAAGAGAATCACAACCTCATCGGGGTGGCGAATGTGTTCTTGGAATGTCTCTTCTGTGACGTGAAACTTCAGTATGCAGTCCCCATCATCAGCCAGCAGGGGGAGGTAAGCACAGGCCAGCCCTGGAGAACGACAGTGGTCCGAGTTTTTGGTTTGGTTTGGTTTGGTTTGATTTTTCATTCTATTTAAGCTATGTTCTTGAGGTAGATCAAGAAACTAGGGCAAATAGTCAAGATCTGCATTCTTTTTTCTCTACTAATAATTGATATTAGTAGAAGCTTTCTCTAAAGCTAATCGATATTAGTAGAGAATTAAGTCGTGGTCTTAAAAGATTATTATAACACATTCAGTATTTGGGCTTCACAAGTTTTTTCTTTGTTTTAATCAAAATGGAAATTTTTTGTAAACTGATTTCAGCTCTGTTCCCCATAATTCTCTCTCTTTTTAAAGGTAATCTCATGCCTTTGCAATATACTCTAGTTCCTTCCTGGCCCTAAATGATCTTTATAAGATACAACTTGGGAGGATTATTTTGCAATCCAAAGTACTCAAAGGAAACAGGGTTCAATGACTCAGTGTTACCCTTCTCGTAAACTCTGGTATTTCAGCTGTTTAGATATAGTGGCCTAGGTAGGCATAAGATATTTCAGAAAATGTAGCTTGAAATACCAAGTTATTTCTTGTGATTCTTAGAGCAGTCAAAGAATATGATGTCATTCTGCCCAAAGTGAAGCTGCATAATATAGACCCAGGTTCCCAGTTGTGGGGTGTGAGTGCACAGCCCACCGTCTACTATGGAAACACCCTATGGACATTCTCCTCCAGAGGACCAGCGCCTAGCAGTGCTTTTTCCAATGGGAAAAATGACCACAGTGAGGAGCCAGCCTGATCAACACTGTGAGACCCCTTCTCTAAAAAAGAAATTTAAAAATTAACCAGGCATGGTGATGAGCACCTATAGTCCCAGGAGGCTAAGGTGGGAGAATCAGGAGGCTGAGGTGGGAGGATCACCAAAGCCCAGGTAGGTCTAAGCTGCCATGAGCCATGATCATACCATTGCACTGCAACCTGGGCAACAGAGCACGACCCTGTCTCAAAAAAAAAAAAAAAAAAATTTACGTGGCAGAGTGATTCAGTGGCTGAGTCCCTAGCTTAGGGCTTCTTAAGTTGGAGTCTGTGATATGCTTTGAGTATTCCATTAATCCCCCTGAAATTATATTAAAATGAATTAGAGTCTCAAAAAGCATTAAAAAAAAAAAAAAACTTAAGAACAACTATCTTCTGATTTCATTTCCTTTTTTCCCCATCTTACTACTTCTTCCTTATTTTTCTTACTTCTCAGTTATCATTACATAATTTCTCTTAGGTCCTTAGTTCCAGTGCCAATTGCTGTGTGGAAGTTGGATCTGATCTACCTTTAAAAATAACCTTCCCTGTTTAGGATGACAGCAGCACTATCAGAACTGTGTTATGAAAGATAATTAAGACAATTAAAGCACTCCAAGAATGCAAATTACGGGATAATCCTTTTCCTCCAATTTGGTTCTGTGCAGCCAGTGTTAAGAGAGACACTGTTAAACTGGCTCCTATCCAGAGAGCCACCATGATAGAAAATTTAAAACCTTTTAATAAAAAAGTTTTAAAGTAACTCTCCACATATCTGTGTGGCTTTCGATATGCTGTTCCTCCTGGATTAGATCTAATGGCACTGCCTTATGGAGCCCTTCTTTATCCTGCTCCCAGCCCCAGTCTGAGTGACACACCCATTCTCTACTCCCAAGAGAATAAAAGCTGCAGGAGCCCAGGTACCTTGTCAGTTTGGTTTGCTGTTGCATACGAAGCACTTAGCACAGTTCCTGGCGCAGCTAGTTCTTGGTAAATATTTGTTGAGTGGATAAACTTATCCCATAACAACTTGCACATTCATCTACTATAGCAACTGGTCTATGCTGTTGTTAGTGAGGTTTATTTTGTTGTTATTGTTTTTTGAGATCGAGTCTCACTCTGTTGCCCAGTCTAGAGTACACTGGTGTGATCTCAGCCCACTGCAACCTCCGCCTCCTGGGTTCAAGCAATTCTGGTGCCTTCGTCTCCCAAGTAGCTGGGACTACAAGCATGAGCCATCACGCCTGGCTTTATTTATTTATTTATTATTTTATTTTTAGTAGAGACAGGGTTTCACCATGTTGGCCTGGCTGGTCTCCAACTCCCGACCTCAGGTGATCCACCCGCATTGGCCTCCCAAAGTGCTAGGATTACAGGCGTGAGCCACCGTGCCTGACCTGATAGTGAGTTTTTAATTCTGTCTTGCCTCCCTTGACTGAGTTCCCTGATGGCAGAACCTGTGTTTTTATTTTGGTATTCCATGAGCTAGCTCTTTGGTCAAATGAATAAGTGAATGAAGCATTTCGTGTTCACTCAAATGAATATGTGAATGAATATATTTAAAAACATGGATAGCTGGGTGTGGTGACTCACGCGTGTAACGCCAGCACTTTGGGAGGCCAAGGTGGGCAGATCATAAGGTCAGGAGTTCAAGACCAGCCTGGCCAATATGGTAAAACCCCATCTCTACTAAAAATACAAAAATTAGCTGGGCTTGGTGGCGGATGCCTGCAATCCCAGCTACTCAGGAGGCTGAGATAGGAGAATCACTTGAACCCAGGGAGGCAGAGGTTGCAGGGAGCTGAGATCGTGCCACTGCACTCCAGCCTAGGCGAAAGAGCAAGACTCTGTCGGGGAAGAAAAAAAGCATGGATAATAGATGACTCCAAATAGAATATGAGAGCGGCCTTTAAGCTATTCCTGGGCTATCCTGTGGGAGAATAAGATTGAGGATGACTCTAGAAGGCAAGTTACAGGAAGGCAAATTTGTCTGAAAGTAAGGCAGGATGATGACAGGGGCAAGAGCGGAATGGACTGGCTCTTGGAGTAGCAGGACTCCCATTGCCAAAGACGACCAATCAGCAGCTGCAGAGCCCCTCTCCACGTCCATTGTAGAAGGCCCTTCTGTCTGGGGTTGAGGCTGCCCACAAGATGTCTTTTTACTCTAAGGTGCTCTGGTTCCTTGACCCAGGTTGCAGGGCGTCTCCACGTGGAAGTGATGCGTGTTACTGGAGCTGTTCCAGAGCGTGTAGTGGAGGATGACTCTTCGGAGAATTCCAGTGAAAGTGGGAGCCTTGAAGTCGTAGACAGCAGCGGGGAGATGATTCACCGAGTCAAAAAACTGACATGTCGGGTGAGAGGACAGCGATGGGAGGCTCATATAAATGATGTTTTTCATGCAAAACCATTTTACAAAAAATCTTATGAGTGTTTTTCATGCAGCATAGGAAAAGTTGAGTTTTCTAACAGCAGATACAATGGTGGACAGTACTTTGATTTTAGAAGTATAGTACACTTTCTGATGACAGCTGCATCAAATCTCAAAAGTGTCTATGTATTTGGCATCCAAGAAGCGTGTGTTACTTAGTGAATTACGTTTTTCTAGTAAAGGTTGCATCTCAGTCATTAGGAAGCTTTTGCAGGGATGTATGTATTTGTTGCCAAGTTTTTATGCTGTATTTACAGAACCGTGTTAAAGATTTCATTATAGATACATCCCTAAACAACATGGTGTCAGATATAGTTATCAGATGTCAAATGGATGACTGATTTGTTTCATTGCTTACTCTTAAATTTCAGGTAGCTGAAATAAAAGAATGTTTAGTGTTTATTGGAGTTTTATTTGTATTGTTTATCTCTTCAGGTAAAAATTAAAGAAGCAACAGGGCTGCCCTTAAACCTCTCAAATTTCGTCTTCTGTCAATACACATTCTGGGACCGGTGTGAGTCTACAGTGGCTGCCCCGGTGGTAGGACCCCGAGGTGCCTTCACCACAGTCCAAGGACGCCCAGTACACAGTGACCTTCTCCCACTGTAAGGTACAAATGCCATTACCAAATGAGCTGTGTAGGAAGCAGAAGAAATGGGTGCAGTTCAGCAATCGATTGTCCCCATGAGCATTTGTTTTAAGTATAATATGTTTATTAGATGTTTTAACCTCAAAAGTGTACTTCATTACAAATGCAAACAGCTTAGAAATATTTAAAATAAAATCCAACAGTCTTGTTTCCCAAAGATAGAAACCACCAATGACAGGTTGCTACATATTTCATTAAACTATTTTCTCTGCTCTACATCTTTTATATGCGTATGGTAACATATGTACCTACACCCTTTTACATCACACACACATAACTTCTTTAAAAATGCTGTACAAGGCCAGACACAGTGGCTCATGCCTGTAATCCCAGCACTTTGGGAGGATGAGGTGGGAGGATCACAAGGTCAAGAGATCACAACCATCCTAGCTAATACAGTGAAACCCCTTCTCTACTAAAAATACAAAAATTAGCTGGGTGTGGTGGCGCACACCTCTAATCCCAGCTACTCCGAAGGTTGAGGCAGAAGAATAGTTTAAACCAGGGAGGCAGAGATTGTAGTGAGCCAAGATCATGCCACTGCACTCCAGCCTGGCCACAGAGTGAGACTCCATCTCAAAAAAAGAAAAAAAAGGCTATATAAAAATGGTATCACATTAAACATATTTCAGAACATGCACATCTTAACATGTAAGTTGCTATGCATGTTATTCTGAATATAGCATTACATTCTAATGTATCATATGAGTGATACATGTTTCATATAGATTTTCTTATAAATCATATGAGAAAATATAAAATGAGAAAGGTGAATTCATGGTGAATGTGGTTGGATCTCCTTTGAGACATCACATGCTCTTCCTAGTTTTTACAAGGGACTGCTGACAAGTCATTTCTGAAAGACCAGCTCCATCCTCTCTATAATTTTGTTTTTCCTTAGACAACCCTTCATAGATACTCAATACCCCTTCTTTTGCAAATCATGCTTATTCTTTCTGGTTCTACCCTTAGAAAACTAATTCGTATCACCACTTATAAAACTTCACATAGGTAAAGGCTGTCAAGTTTTTCTCAAAACAAATAGCCTATATTTATCTTTATTCACCAAGTCTGTTCCTAAAAATATTTATTAATCATATTTTGTTGTTCTCTGAATATTCTTTTAAATAGTCCCCATCTGTCTTTCTTCTTCTTCTCTCTCTTTTTTTTTTTTTTTTTTTTTTTTTTGAGACAAAGTCTCACTGTGTTGCCAGGCTGGAGTGCAGTGACCCAATGTTGGCTGACTACAATCTCCACCTCCCACTTCAAGCAATTCTCTTGCCTCAGCCTCCCAGGTAGCTGGGACTACAGGTGTGCACCACCACGCTTGGCTAATTTTTGTATTTTTAGTAGAGATGGGTTTTCACCATGTTAGCCAGGATGGTCTCCATCTCCTGACCTCTTGATCGGCCCACCTCGGCCTCCCAAAGTGCTAGGATTACAGGCATGAGCCACCGCACCTGGTCTCCCCATCTTTCTATGAATCCACAAAGCTTCTTTCTTAGAAAAACGAAATCTGGATTTTAAGTGTGTCCTGTTTGACAGCTGTTTTAATAAATGCTAGTCCCAGAGCTTCTGGATTCTTGTGATCTTAGAACTTTTTCATCTCTAAAATGTATAGATTATAGTTGATTGCCAAGCTTCTTTTTCTTCTTAAATTCTGGGTCTGTCTTCAAATAAAATAGACTAAAAAGCAGATAGTATGTGGTTAAATAAATATAACATAGCTGTTTCTGCAAATTAGAGTCATAAGAGATGTCTCCACCTGAGATTCCACTGAGAGACTAATGGAAAGAAAATTAGCCTGGTTCGTTGCCTGCTGCATTTTTCTGGGTGGTTTGCCACCCATCTCAGTCAGTTCAGTATTCATTCACTTCCACACAGTCATCTGTTTGGTGTTGTTTTTGTTTTTAAAGACGATGTGTCACTCTGTTGCCCAGACTGGAGTGCAGTGGCACAATCATGGCTCACTGCAATTCTTGAACTCCTGGGCTCAAGCAACTCTCCTGCCTCAGCCTCCTGAGTAACTGGGACTATAGGCATGCACCATCACACCCAGCTAAGTTTCACTTTGTAGAGACGGAATCTCATTTTGTTGCCCAGGCTGGTCACTATCTCCTGGGCTCCAGCTATCCTCCTGCCCTGGCCTCCCAAAGTGCTGGGATTACAGGTATGAGCCACTGTGCCCAGCCTGTTTATGTTTTCAAAAGAGGAAATAGGGCAGAAAAGCTTAAGAGCAAGAGCATAGAGTCATGAAGATAACCATATAAAATTTAATTCTGTTGTTCTCCTAAGCCATGGCAAGAAACAATTCATTGAGTCAGTCTATGCTAGCTGAAACTCAGAGTGGTCCTGTGGAACTGAGAATGAACCAAGTGTAAGAGAATGTGGGTTCAGCTCTGCCACTAGCAAACAATATGACTTTGGACAATTTGCTTTCTTCATTTTCTTTCTTTATATAAGGAACGGGTTGAATTAAATTACCTCCCAATTTTTCTTCCAGATCTAATGTTCTGTGGTTCCTTGTGGTTTTCTGTAAAAACAGAAGAGATGGGTTTAAGGTTGAGATCAGGCTAATATACTCTAAAATAAATCCATATAACAGTTGAAAGTTCAAAAAGAAGCCGGGCACGGTGGCTCAAGCCTGTAATCCCTGCACTTTGGGAGGCCGAGGTGGATGGATCACGAGGTCAAGAGATCGAGACCATCCTGGTCAACATGATGAAAACCCGTCTTTACTAAAAATACAAAAAATTAGCTGGGCATGGTGGCGCGTGCCTGTAATCCCAGCTACTCAGGAGGCTGAGGCAGGAGAATTGCCTGAACCCAGGAGGCGGAGGTTGCGGTGAGCCGAGATCGCGCCATTGCACTCCAGCCTGGGTAACAAGAGCGAAACTCCGTCTCAAAAAAAAAAAAGTTCAAAAGGAAATTTCACAGACTCCTTTAAGCATAATTCTTCTGCTTTCCCCCCACTTATCCCAGGACTATGTGGTGAATGTAACGGAAGAATTCCTGGAGTTCATTTCAGATGGAGCATTGGCCATTGAAGTCTGGGGCCACCGGTGCGCTGGAAATGGCAGCTCTATCTGGGAGGTCGATTCTCTTCACGCTAAGACAAGAACACTGCATGACAGGTTTGTACTTGGGTGTACACTTTAGATACAGGGTCAAGAGTAGGACTTGAGCAGAGTCTCTGAGCCTACTCTGGCCTAGGAGGCTGCTCATTCAAAAAAAAAAAAAGGAATACAGGCTTTGAACTCTGGGTCTGCTGTGGTTAATTCAGACAAGTTATTTAACTTCTCTGAGGCTGTTTCCTCCTTTGTAAAATGAGAATGATGAAAGAAACGAGCAGGTACCAAAGAAATTCAGTGGGGAATGGCGTGTCGTATCCACAAATGAGACTGAAACAACTGCCTCTCTGTGTGGAGAAAAATCATCCTTTTTCTTTACTTCACACCATACACAAAAAAAATTAATTTGAGATGAATCATGTAACCTTAAATACAAAAGCTTAAACTATAACGATTACAGAAAAACACAGGATTTGGGGATAGTCAAATATTCTCAGGAAGGCTGCCCAGAAAGGCTGCCAAACGTGCTAACCATAGAAGAAAAGAATTTTTAAGTTGGACTTAATCAAAATTTAAAGCTTGTGCTCATCAAAAGACTACTATGAAAATGAATACACAAGCTACAGTCTGGGGGGAAAACTGGTAGTTTCTTATTAAGTTGATTATTCTCCTCTTTTATGACCCAAGAATCCCACTCATAGGTGTTTACCCAAGATAAATGGAAATGTAAGTCCACAAATAGAGTTGCACACAATGGGTTTTTTTGTTGCTTTTTTTTTTTTTTTTTTTTTAGATGGAGTCTCACTCTGTCACTCAGGCTATAGAGTGCAGTGGTGTGATCTCGGCTTAATGCAACCTCCACCTCCCAGGTTCAAGCGATTCTCCTGCCTCCGTCTCCCGAGTAGCTGGGATTACTGGCAAGTGCCACTATGCCTGGCTAATTTTTTTGTATTTTTAGTAGAGGTGGGTTTTCACCATGTTGGCCAGGATAATCTCAAACTCTTGACCTCAGGTGATCCACCCGCCTTAGCGTTTCAAAGTGCTGGGATTACAAGTGTGAGCTACTGCACCTGGCCTATACAATGTTCATGGCACCGTTATTAATGGTATTCCCAAATAGCAGATAACCTAAATATCCTTCAGTAAGTGAATGGGGATAAATTGGTGTCATTCATTAAAAAAAAAAAAAAAAAAAAAGTATTACTCTGCAGGCCGGGCGCGGTAGCTCACACCTGTAATCCCAGCACTTTGGGAGGCCAAGGCGGGCAGATCACCTGAGGTCGGAAGTTTGAGACCAGCCTGACCAACATGGAGAAACCCCATCTCTACTAAAGATACAAAATTAGCCAGGCGCGGTGGTACGTGTCTGTAATCCCAGCTATTCAGAAGGCTGAGGCAGGAGAATCACTTGAACCTGGGAGACGGAGGTTGCAGTGAGCCAAGATGGTGCTATTGCACTCTTGGGCAACAAGAACAAAACTCCATCTAGAAAATAAAAAATAAAAATAAAGTATTACTCTGCGTTAAAAAAGAAAAAAACTGTTTATATCCGTTTGGATGAATCTCAGAAACATTATGCTGAATGAAAGAAGCAAGACACAAGAGTACATAATGTGTAATTCCATTTATTTGGAGTTCTAGAACAGGCAAAACTAATCTCTGAGTTAACACAGTTGCTACAGGAGTGTGGGCATTGAATGGGAATGGGTATGAGCAAAGTTTCTGAGGTGATGGGGTAGGTTACGCTCATATGTGCATTTCTCAAAACTCATCAAACTCTATACTCAAGATCTGGGCATTTCACTCTACCTCAATAAAATGAATAAAAAGAACCTATATGACAGGGTGGGTTTGAGAGTTAAATAAGGCAATAACTTCTATGAGACACATGGCACAGTGCCTAGCACACAGTAAGTGCCCAGTGAATGATGGCTTATTACTAACAGCGTCCCTGGACGGTGATGCTCTTGCTCATTGGACTGTTGCAGGTGGAATGAAGTAACTCGAAGAATAGAAATGTGGATCTCCATATTAGAACTGAATGAGTTAGGGGAGTATGCTGCAGTAGAACTTCATCAGGCGAAAGATGTCAACACAGGGGGCATCTTTCAACTCAGACAGGTACTGAGTATTTTTTGTTTTTTGTTTTTTGTTTTTAATGTTTTCTCTCTGTTCCACTCTTACACATAGTTTCTGGGAATTTTCTAACTATTTGTATCTTTGTTCTCTAATCCTTTTCCCCTCTGGATCCCTTTCTCCCATCCCTCTTTATTATCATTCCTGACACCCATACGCCTGCCCACCCTCTTCAGGGTCATTCCCGTAGAGTGCAAGTCACGGTATCACCTGTGCAGCATTCAGGGACATTGCCGCTTATGGTTGAAGCCATCCTGTCAGTAGCCATCGGTTGTGTAACTGCCAGGTCCACCAAACTCCAGAGAGGGCTGGACAGTTACCAGGTAAGACAAACAGACTTGAAATTGTATTTAACAAAGCTTGGTTAATGCAGAAATAAGGCACTTAATGCTCTCCAATGGGGACCTTTTTGCAAATATAACAGAACTCCTTGCCTTAACCACAGGTCTTCTACCAGTTCACATTTCCATCCATTGCCCTTTTTTTTAGCTTTAAAATCTGTTTGCTTAGTGTTGATTAATAATAATTTTATTTATAAACACACACATCCTGATACTATAGTAGTCATTTACTTTAGGCAGATTTTATTTTATATCTGGCCCAAAATATGTTTTATCTTTGGCATTACTGCCTGACCTGATCCCCCTTTTTTTTTTTTTTTTTTAAGATAGGGTTTTGCTTTGTTGCCCAGGTTGGAGTACAGTGGTGTGGTCATGGCTTACTGCAGCCTTCACCTCCTGGGCTCAAACGGTCCTTCCACCTCAGCTTCCCAAGTAGCTAGGATTACAGGCATGCATCACTGCGCCCAGCTGATTCTTTTATTTTTTGTAGAGAAGGGTGTGTCATTCGTTGCCCACACTGGAGCCAAACTCCTGAACTCAAGTGATCCTCCTACGTCAGCCTCCAAAAGTGCAGGGATTACAGGCGTAAGCCACCATACCTGGCCACTTTTATTTATAGTGTAAAATTATTTTCATACACTGTCATAATAAACCAGCTCTTTGAAAGCTTTACTTCTTTTTTTGTTAAAATGTGTCCTTATGATCATTTTTGTTCATTAAATCTTCATTTCCTAAACATTATATTCTCATTTTTTAAAAGATGAAAACTTCTAAGAATTGATCATATTATCAGTCAGAGCTACTCAGTACTCCGTGAAAAGAATTTCTAAAATTAGGAACTTGGCCAGGCATAGTCACTCATGCCTGTAATCCCAGCACTTTGAGAGGCTGAGGTGGGGAGAAACACTTGAGCCCAGGAGTTCGAGACCAGCCTGACCAACATGGCGAAACCCTGTCTCTACTAAAAATACAAAAAATTAGCCAGGTGTGGTGGCACATGACTATTGTCTCAGCTATTCAGGAAGCTGAGGCATGAGAATCGTTTGAACCCTGGAGACAGAGGCTGCAAGTGAGCCAAGATCACGCCACTGCACTCCAGCCTGGGTGACAAAGGAAGACTCTATCTCAAAAAAAAAAAAAAAAAAAAAATTAGGAACTTGTCCCCCACTAGCCTAAAAATATGAATGTGCTTCATTGAGTCCCCACTTTACTACCAGATATGAGTTAGGAACTGGGGAGAATCACTGTTAGATCTGCCTCCCTCACCCCCATATGTGATTGAGAGCACTCTCCCTCTCGTGCCGAAGAGAAAACATTTCTCTGCTGTGGAGAATGAGTCTAAGCCCAGCCAAACTTGAGGATGTTTTCTCTTCTATCTCAGTTTCCTTTTGGCTTCATTGCTTTCAGGCAAAGACATTTCTGGAAGCCAAAAGTCAGTGCACAAACTATTCAACTTCATGGCAGTAATAGCTTTGTCAGATGCTGCCTTACCTCTTCAAGCCCAAAATTCCCTCTAGCTCGGAACGTCTGTCCACACTTCATTCAGAGTATGAATGGAGGTTCGAGGACAGGGCTGCTGTGGTTAGATAGGCTTCTCCACCAGACTTTTACTGGTGTGTGGTGCAGCCCGTGGAGCAGGAAATGGGGTTGTAGGTATTCTCATACCAGTCCAGTCCTTCACTTAGCCATCAACTTCTTTGTGGGTGCACGGCTGAAGGAGAACACTAGACTTGGAGTGAGGAGACCTGGATTCTTAAGTCTAGTTCAGCATTACTAAATGGTTGTCTTGGCTGCATGATTTAAACTGTGTTCTCTTTTCTCCAAAATGATGAGGCAGACTTAATAATCCTCTGAGGTCTCTTTCCACAATAAAATTTTGTGGCTTAATAAATCTCTGATGTTCAGTAAAAACATTGTGGGTTCCAAAGGGTGACCTGCAGTATGTGGATCATCAACTAACTAAATATTCTCCCTGGAGGAACATTCCAAGGATCAGTTTTTTTGTTGTTCGTTTTTTTTTTTGTTTTTTTTTTTTTTTTTGAGAGAGAGTCTCACTGTGTCACTGAGGTTGGAGTACAGTGTCTTGATCTCACCTTACTACAACCTCCGCCCCTTGGGTTCAAGCGATTCTCCTGCCTCACCCTCCTGAGTATTTGGGATTACAGGTGCCTGGCTAATGTTTGTATTTTTAGTAGAGATGGGGTCTCACCATCTTGGCCAGGCTTGTCTTGAACTCCTGACCTCATGCTCTACCTGCCTCAGCCTCCCAAAGTGCTGGAATTATAGGTATAAGCCACTGTACCTGGTGCTTTTTTTTGTTGTTTTTTGTTTTGTTTTGTTTTGTTTTGTTTTAAGACAGAGTCTCACTCTCATTCAGGCTGGAGTGCAGTGGCATGATCTCAGCTCACTACATTTTTTCTATCTCCCTGGTTCAAGCAATTTTCCTGCCTCAGCCTCCCAAGTAGCTGGTATTACAGCCATGCACTACCACACCCAGCTAATTTTTGTATTTTCTTAGAGACAGAATTTCACCAGGTTGGCCAGACTGGTCTCCAACTCCTCACCTCAAAGGATACACCCACCTGGACCTGCCAAAGTGCTGGGATTACAGGTGTGAGTCACCATGCCCAGCAACTATTTGTAGTTAAAAAAAAAAAAAGAAAAGAAAAGAAAAAAAGCTCTACTTCTGAGTTAAAACTAATTTTTGTCAAATTGTAAACTTTAAAATATTAGCCTCTCCCCTGTGCTATATGCTCTTGAAATTTGAACTGCAGCTATTTTAAAGGCTTTTTTTTTCTTTACTGCCATGTTGCAGCTGATGTCTTTTAAGTGTTTTTGTTGTTGAGACAGTGCTTTAGAATTATTCTGATGCAAAAAAAAAAAAAAATTATTCTGGTACAGTAGCTGAAACCAATAAAGAATATGCTGATTTTGCAACAACTTTACATCATGAATGCTTAGGCTAGTTTTCAGTGAATACAACTACCTCCTTAGTTTAAAAAGTTACGACAAATTAGAGCTATTTGTTCTTTTACGTTAATAGGAAGTATTCATTCAAGATAAATTACTTCAAGATTAGGACTACATTTAATAAGTCATATAACTGATAATGATGGTTACCAAAGGAAAAAAAAAAGCTGTTCATTTTGAGGTATATATGAAAATAATTTTGACTATATATATACTTTTTTTTTTTTTTTTTTGAGACGAAGTCTCACTCTGTCTCCAGGCTGGAGTGTGGTGTGGTGCGATCTCGGCTCACTGCAACCTCTGCCTCCTGGGTTCAAGCATTTCTCCTGCCTCAGCCTCCCGAGTAGCTGGGACTGCAGGCATGCGCCACCATGCCCAGCTAATTTTTGTATTTTTAGTAGAGATGGGATTTCACTGTGTTGGCCTAGATGGTCTTGACCTCGTGACCTCATGATCCACCCGTCTTGGCCTTCCAAAGTGCTGGGATTACAGGCATGAGCCACCGTGCCCAGCTGACTGTATTCTTAAAGCTCTTTTGTAGTCACAAATTTTAAATTAAGGGATTCTTGATTCTTGTTTCTAAGGAAAATTGTTTCAACCAAGTCCCTTTTATTTTCAACATGATTACTTTATTTTGACAAATGTTTTTGCAAAAATTGTTACTTTCTTTAGTTATTGTACAATGTTGCAGTGTTTGAAACAGTTGTGATTCTCTCAAGTGATTTTATAGTCAATAGAGAATACTGACAAATCCTTATGTTCCAAATGTATGCTGTACTTTTATTTCGACGGTGTAGTACAGACTCTTGTGTATATATAGCCTGAGGTTTCCCCAGCTTTCCCCTGGGATGATTTCATCAGGGAAGACAGCTGAGGTTAGAGACCTCATACAGGCATGGCTTACAGTTCTTACTGCCATTATTTGTGTGATCCTAAGGTTAAATCATTTCATCCTTTAAGGCTTAGTTGCCTCATTGCTCAAACTGAGCTTGGGCAAGAGAATCTTTCTCATAGTTTTGCCATTCTGTCTTCCTAAACATATCTCAAATCTCAAATAGTCTACCCCAAAATACGTATCACCTGTCTGTATGACAGTGGTGTAAGGCCTGGCTCAATGATGTTGGTTCCTATCCCCAGCTAAGAGATTTCTTATTTTTATTTTATTTTATTTATTTTATTTTATTTTATTTATTTTGAGATGTAGTCCCTCTCTGTCACCCAGGCTGGAGTGCAATGGTACAACCTCGGCTCACTGCAACTTCCACCTCCCAGGTTCAAGCAATTCTTCTGCCTCAGCCTCTCAAGTAGCTGGGACTACAGGCACGCACCACCACACCCAACTAATTTTTATGTTTTTGCTAGAGATGGGTTTCACCATATTGGCCAGACGGGTCTCGAACTCCTGACCTCATGATCCGCCCCTCAGCCTCCCAAAGTGCTGGGATTACAGGCATGAGCCACCATGCCTGGCCCTATTTCATTTTGTTTTTTTGGAGACAAGGTATTGCTGTGTTGCCCAGGCTGAGGTGCAGTGGTGTGATCAGTGCTCACTGCAGCCTCCATCTCCTCGGCTCAAGTGATCCTCCCACTTAAGTCTCCCAAGTAGCTGGGACTACAGATGCATAGTACCAGCTAATTTTTAAAAGCTTTTTGTACAGGCCAGGTGTGGTAGTTTTTTGTTTGTTTGTTTGTTTTTGTTGTGTTGTTTTTTTTTTTGAGACGGAGTTTCGCTCTTGTTACCCAGGCTGGAGTGCAATGGCGCGATCTCGGCTCACCGCAACCTCCGCCTCCTGAGCTCAGGCAATTCTCCTGCCTCAGCCTCCTGAGTAGCTGGGATTACAGGCATGCGCCATCACGCCCAGCTAGTTTTTTGTATTTTTAGTAGAGACAGGGTTTCACCATGTTGACCAGGATGGCCTGGATCTCTCGACCTCGTGATCCACCCGCCTTAGCCTCCCAAAGTACTGGGATTACAGGCTTGAGCCACCGCGCCCAGCCAAGGTGTGGTAGTTTACGCCTATAATCCTAGCACTTTGGGAGGCCAAGGCAGGCAGATCACAGGGTCAGGAGTTCAAGACCAGACTGGCCAACATGGCGAAACCCTGTCTCTACTAAAAATTACAAAAATTAACTGGGTATGGTGGCTCATGCCTGTAATCCCAGCTACTTGGGAGGCTGAGGTAGGAGAATTGCTTGAACTGGGACCCAGGAGGCAGAGGTTGCAGTGAGCTGAGATCATGCCACTGCACTCCAGCCTGGGCTACAGAGCAAGACTCCATCACAAAAAAAAAAAAAAAAAGAAAAGAAAAGAAAAAATTGTACAGATGGGATCTTGCTGTGTTGCACAGGCAGGTCTCAAACTTCTAGCTTCAAGAGATCCTCCTGCCTTGGCCTCCCAAATGGTGGGATTATAGACATGAGCCTAGCCAAGTTTTTATGTTTCACTGACTCTTTTCTTTATGTAAAAAATTCTTTAAATTATAGACAAGTGAATTAAATCCATTATCCCTTTTTGAGATTCAATTTAGTATTTTATTATGCTTATGTTATGTGAGCTGTCAATTTTAATGTGTGTTAAGCTTAAAGAATTATTTTCCCTGTATGCTGTTTGAAAAACAAAATGCGTGTCCTTTGTGTTTATCTTTTTCCTACCAGAGAGATGATGAGGATGGTGATGATATGGATAGTTATCAGGTATTGCTACTGCTGTCAATCCTGCGGCATGGGCACAGCTACTGCTAATTGCCAGCATTTGCAAAGCAGAGGTCAGGGAGGAGGAAGGAGGGTCCTAGAGAGAGAATATGCAGTTTTTCACTTGCTTTTGATTTGCTTTGTACGTAATCAAACGCAATACTGTTTCTATCGGTTTCCTTGTCAGTTCAGTTTGTAATCAAATAATTGCCTTTTTGCTATGCCATCTCAATTTACTGACTTATTGCTAAGCAAGATCATTGTCACTGTATTAAAATGGATGATCTGGAGACCAATCTGAGTAATAATGAAACTCCAGTCTCCTGCAAAAATAAATAAGTAAATAAATAAATAAAATGGGTGATCTTAAAATATTGCAGTTATCCATCCATAATCTTTTAAAGACTCTTATCTTTCCCATGCTAACATTCATTCTGCTCCTTACATACAAGAGCTAATATTGTCGTAATAGGACATTTTATTTTAAAAGACTTTTGCTGCATAGGAAAATTGAAGACACTTTATGCACATAATTGTGTTTTGTTTAGCCAGCTTTCTTCCCTCATTAGGGCCATACTTAGTTCTCCATAACCTGTAGAATTTAAATCTCCGCTTTAACTGGTTGGAAATCTTGAAAAAAATACACAGATATGCAAACTGAGATTGTAACTTGTCAGCTCTGACTGGCCTGATACCGTGGAGTGTGGGGTTATGTAGAAATGGTCAAAGCAGCAAAACAAGATGAAGCTTTTTGGTTCCCAGTCTTTATACGGATTCTCCACACACATCTTCAAAGGATGTTTTCTCAGTGTGCCTTCCTAGATGTAAAATGTGGGTACACTGGCCGGACGTGGTGGCTCACTCTTGTAATCCCAGTATTTTTGGGAGCCAAGGCGGGCAGATCACGAGGTCAGGAGTTCAAGACCAACCTGGCCAACATGGTGAAACCCCATATCTACTAAAAATACAAAACTTAGCTGGGCGTGGTAGCGCACGCCTGTAATCCCAGCTACTCTGGAGGCTGAAGCAACAGAATCGCCTAAACACAGGAGGAGGAGGTTGCAGTGAGCCAAGATAGCACCACTGCACTCCAGACTGGGTGACAAGAGCAAAACTCCAAATCAGAAAAAAAAAAAAAAAAATGTAGATAAACTGTACGCTGTAGGTAAAGTTTCAGAGGTCCTAGGTATCTATTCTTGATGTAACATCTTAAGTCTTAAACTGGAATTAGGCAAGCCAAAGAACATATTTAATAGAATTGATGGATTTTCTTTCCCTACTTATAATTCCATGAAGAAAAAACTTTCAGGGAAATATCATTATCCCCTTGGATCTCAGCAATGCCATTGACTAACGTCCTGCGGCTGTTTGTGCGCTTCCTGGCACGTTTTTCACACTGCAGTCCATTGGCTGCCTAGAGGATTTCCTAAAGCATGGCTGACTGCATGTTGGGGTTTGCATGGGAGATTTTTGGTTAGCCTCACGGTGGTGGTTGAAAATAAAATGTTTGTGGCAAGTTTGAAAAGTTATCTGCTGACCTAGTCTTTGCATTTCAGAAAATCTCTGTTATCAGACTACTGAACTATGAGCTATGAAAATGCTTATCATTTTCCATTCCATTAGTTTTTACTTGGTTTGGGCTCTGTTTGTGCTGCCCTTCTGTTTGGGATCACAAATCCTGCGATGAATAGCTACAATTTAAATATACATGCACACATAGTAAAAAAAAAAAAAAAAATCGGACAGCTGGTATAGTTTGAGCTTGTCTTGCTTTTAAGTATAATTATCCTTTTGGAGATCCAGGGGTTCTGATTTCTGGGTAACAGCATCCTTGATCAACATGCAGTGTTACTGAGGCCTCTCTGCTTTCTTGCATCTTAATCACATGGCAATATTCAATGGCTTTTCCTACTGAAAGTTTCCTAGTCGATTTAAACATCTTTTTTTTAAAAAAAGGAAATCCTTTTTTATGCAGTCTATAGGAAAATATTTTCCCTCCCTGATGTTAGGAAGAAGACTTAAACTGCGTAAGAGAGAGGTGGTCAGATGCACTCATTAAACGGCGAGAATACTTGGATGAACAGATAAAAAAAGTGAGCAATAAAACAGGTATGTGAGATCAAACTCTTTTTTGGGGGGAGCTTTTCACTTTTACACAATGACAGTAGGTTGTTTTCGTCCCCTAACTGGACAGTAGTATCTTATTTTTGTTTGTTTTTAAGATAGGGTCTCGCTCTGTCACCCAAGCTGGAGTGCAGTGCTAGGATCATATCTCACTGCAGCCTTGAACTCCTGGCCTCCAGAGATCCTCCTGCCTCAGTCTCCTGAGTAGTTGAGACTACAAGCATGAGCTACCACATCCAGCTAATTTTTAAATGTTTTGTAGATGAGGGGTTTCACTTTGTGGCCCAGGCTGATCTCAAACTCCTAGACTCAAGTGATCCTCCCACTTCAGCCTCCCAAAGTGCTGGAATTGCAGGTGTCAGCCACTGCACCCAGCCTGTTTAGTTTTGTGAACTTGTAACAATTGTAACAATTATAGACATTAGTCCATTATATTATACATTGTTGGTTTAAGAAGCCTCCAAAATTGAAAGTAATAAGTTTTTATAAAACTCTGAGCTGTCATAAAACTGTGACATTACATGTCAAATTCACATTTCATTTTGATGGACACAAATGCGATCAATACCGGTATGTCAATATGAGGTATTCTGGGCACCAGGACCTACGACATACAGCAGCCAAAGGGTCACTTCTGAAACCAAACCACTTAGCAGGTCAGCACCTATCCACTATTGGGCCATTGACATGCACTCAGCTGGTTCAGTGTGGCCCCTGCAATGCCATTCACTGCTACTCAGTGAATATTGCTGTTATCCATCCATAAGCTGCCCCCTTGGATACATAAGCACGTTATGCATCCAAGGGTGCAGCTTGCTAATCGTAGCAGTGGCCACTTGGATTCTAGATAGAAATATGCACTTAAAATTCTTAGTCTCTCATCCAGACATCATGGTCTACTCACTGCAGTTGGTTCCGCACCAAATAACACATCATGCATGTGAATCCATTTCATGTAGAAGCTAGCAAAAAGTCTCCCTCAGGAAAACATCTCTCCTCAACATGTGGTGTTGCTTTGTGTATGTGCTCAGGCTGCTAATGAAAACTCACTTTGACTGTACCCAGGGAGCCCCAGAATTGAATTATGAGTAAGAGGATTTCAAAGTATATCAAATAAAATCCCTTTCATGATAAGCCTCAAGGAAAATAAAGGTGATTTTACAGAGTAAGGTATATGGTGTGTTTTGTTTTTGTTTTGAGACAGAGTCTCGTTCTGTCACCCAGGCTGGAGTGCAATGGCACGATCTCAGCTCACTGCAACCTCCACCTCCTGGGTTCAATCAGTTCTCTTGTCTCAGCCTCCCGAGTAGCTGGATACAGGCATCCAACACCATGCCCAGCTAATTTTTGTATTTTTAATAGAGGCAGAGTTTCACCATATTGGTCAGGCTGGTTTCAAACTCCTGACCTCAGGTGATCTGCCCACCTCAGCCTCCCAAAGTGCTGGGATTACAGGTGTAAGCCACTGTGTCTGGCCTTTGTTGTTTTTTAATCCTCTGTCTTTGTAAAGTCACTTACAGTTCTGTAAAGTAGTGTCACATCCGTATTTCATTTGATCCTTCCAGCAATTGTGTGAAGTAGATGTGACTTCTGTTATCCCTGTTTGACAGGTTGGGGAGACTTGTTGAATAACTTCCTCAAATTACAGAACCAGTAAAATAACCTGAGTCTTATAATTGCTGTTCCAATGCTCTTTCTGCTATTTCTGGCTTATGGTTTCTGAAACTGGTGTCACAGCCCCTCTCAGCTCCCTATACATCCTCTTGCTTGAACTTCACAGGCTCAACTCCATTTAAGGGACGTAGTGGATGTTTAAGCCACTTATGGATAGCACTAAATGAAATCTGTTTATTGTGTTTGTTTGCTTGTTTTTTGAAATAGGGTCTTGCTTTGTTGCCCAGGCTTTAGTGCAGTGATGTGATGATGGCTCACTGCAGCCTTGAACTCCTAGGCTTAAGTGATCCTCCCACCTCAGCTGCCTGAGTATGTGGGACTACAGGCATGCATGTCACCACCCTCCCCAGCTGTTGCTTTTTTTTTTTTTTTTTTTTTCGTAGAAATTGGGTCTCACTATGTTGCCCAGGCTGATATCTGTTCCTTGTAAATGGAGAAGTTGTACTTTCTCTCTTGTTGGCATTGATCTCCTCATTTTGTTCTGCAGAGAAAACAGAGGACGATGTCGAGCGGGAAACCCAGCTTGTGGAGCAGTGGGTAGGGCTAACCGAGGAAAGGAACGCTGTGCTGGTGCCTGCCCCAGGCAGTGGGATTCCTGGAGCACCTGCCGACTGGTAAGGCTGCCCTTCCTTCCCTGCAGACCTGGGGAGATGGTACAGGTCGCCTGTGGCAAGAGCCATGCAAGAGACTTTCCAGGATTGTCACAGCAAATGCCAACCAGCTAAGCTGCTTAGGCAATGTCCACTCATCTCCAGTGCTTCCGTCCCTTTTTTTCTTTCCCACTGAAGCCAGCTTTCTCCCACAGGAAGCCAGAGAGCATTGATTACCTGGCCAGGAATCACATACCATATTCCTCTATTCTTCTGCATAAGCAACTCGGACATGGTTTCCTGATCTCCAGAAATTCTTTTATTTTGGCTGGAAAGTATCTGAAGAGGGCAGAAAATGTATCAGTGGAGCTACCTTTTTGGTAGTATTGTGAGAATTAGAGATAGTGTATATATAATAACTTATATATTAAAATATTATCTTGTATATTGTATATAAAATACCTTTCATGCCCATTCAATAAATCCTAGCTGCTGCTGCTGCTTCTGCTGCTGCTTATTCTTATTTTTATTATTGTATGTCCAAGGCATTTAAGAGAAAATCAGATTCCTTTTGAACACAGTGTAGAAATATTAGTGATAATACCAGTTAATACCATCTCTAATTAGTATAATTAGAGATGCTTATGCATCTCTAATGATAAATGGAAATGTAATCAATTTCATGATATGTTTTTATGAAACTAGAAACTCTGAATCTGCAGGCACATAATTTGTAAGCTGATGTTTCTCCCAGCAGTTGCTGCTGTTGTGCTGGAATCCTGCAGGTCTCTTGCAGTAATTCTGCCAGCCACTTCTTATGGACGGCCTGCTCACCCCAATCTTGTTCTGGCCCTCAAAGCCCTCTCTAGACAGTTCTTCTCCTTCCTTCAGTCTCTCTCATATGAAGCGTTTTCAAAGTTCAGATCATCTTGAGTGCTTGTAACATGTGGGCCTGGGTCTCATTCCTAGTTATTCTGATTCAGAAGAGAAAGGAAGGACCCATGATTCTTCTTTTTTAATTGTTTTAAATAAGAATTTGCATTTTTAAAGGGACTCTTTAAGAGGCCTCTCAGGTGGTTCTGATGCAGCTGGACAAGTTGGTTTTTTCAGTGTTTTGTTTCCTTGAGACAAGGTCTCGCTCTGTTTCCCAGGCTAGAATACAGTGGCGCGATCTCTATACACTGCAACCTTGACCTTCCAGGCTCAAGCCATCCTCCCACCTCCCAAGTAGCTGGGACCACAGGCATGTGCCACCACACCTGGCTAGTTTTTGTTGTCGTTGTTGTTGTTGTTTGTAGAGACCAGTTCTCCCTGTGCTGCCCAGGCTGGTCTTGAACTTGTCCTCAAACCATCTTTCTGCCTTGGCCGCCCAAAGTGCTGTGATTACAGGCAGGAGCCACCACATGTGTCCGTGGGCTGGTTTTTGATAAAACACTGGTCAGTCTCTTCTGTCCACATGCCTGCCTCCTTTCACGTGTCTTTCCTTCTGTCCTCATTTGACCTTCTGTTTCCTTCCTCTAGGCTGAGATCCTGTCCCCTGTCACCACCCTAACAACATCCCTTTCCCTTTCCCTCTCACTGGAATTCTTTTTAGAAAGGCTTCAAATAATCTCTGTTTCAATTAATTACATGTAACTCATATAACTGGAAGTTCTTTTATGTAATTTATCAGTTCCCATGATTTTTGTCTACAAGGAAGTCAAGAAATGTGAAAGTATTTCATTAGTGGAAACTGCATCTCTGCCATGGTTCTCTTTGCATCCACAACTCTGTGGTGTATTATCAGCTAATAAGATGTAAAATACATATTTTGCTGTGATTAAATTTTGTTATTAAATTTAGGATCCCACCTCCTGGAATGGAAACCCACATACCAGTTCTCTTCCTCGACTTGAATGGTGAGTAGACACTTAAAGTCACAGGGATTGTTGTATTTAATTAAGATTTGTAATCTATTCAGACTCACATTATTTTGATCCTTAAATCACTCTTCTAATCACTCATGTGCCAAATTAAGTGACATTTTCATTCTAATCAAATATATAAGCATGATATGTGTATAGTTAATCAGAAAAGAAGATAGGGTGATTGAGAACTGCATACAAGAGCATTAAAGCAGTTGCACTGAAGCAACAGACAAATAAATTCCCCTGGAAAATAATCATCCCCAGAGATTCTGAGTCTTTAGGCTTGACAGGGGCCTATGAATCTGCATTTCTGACTAGTGCCCTTAACTCTGCTCCTCAAAGAGTTTTGATGGCAGAAAGGATCGCAATATAACCTTGCCTTAAGGGTGGTCCTTCATATGACAATTAGATGGATCCTGGACAAGTCTAGAACAATGGTTTCCAATGTGCTTTAGCAGTAAAATCCTTTTGTAAACAAAATATTAAATGGAACCCCATGTTTAGAAAACAACAGCAGGGTTGCTGAGTTAGCAGTGGGCAGGGTCCTGGCAGACCCTTTGGCAGGGCCGTGGGGCTCCTCAAAACACAGCCTGAAAACCTCTGTTCTGGAAGGAAGCCCAGTTATGGATGGATGGAAGACGCAGGGAGGGTAGCTTTGGCTCTTCACGTGAATAATTTTTTTTTAAAGCCTGGATGTCAAATGTATGCCTCATAAGATAGTGATTTTCCTGTCATGGGAGGTATGTAAACAAAGACTGGTTGACTATTTACAGAGGTTTGTGAAGGGCGAACCCCATATTGGATAGGACATTGGGACGCTGGAAGAAGATAATCTTCCTATTTCTCCCAAGTACTCAGAACTTTGATTCTAAATTGATAATTTAACTGCTAAAATCTCTAATTTATGGTAAGTTATTAGGTAGGACAACAAATGTAACAACAGTTTACGGGAGGAATTGACATCAGAAAGCAACAAAATTATAAGGTTTTTTGTTTTTTGTTTTTGAGAGTATCGCTCTGTCACCCAGGCCTCACTGCAACCTCCACCTCCTGGGTTCAAGCACTTCTCTGCCTCAGCCTCCCAAGTAGCTGGAACTACAGGCACCTGTCACCGTGCCTGGCTAATTTTTGTATTTATAGTAGATACGGGGTTTCCCCATCTTGGCCAGGCTGGTCTTAAACTCCTGACCTTGTGATCCACCCTCCTTGGCCTCCCAAAATGCTAGGATTACAAGCATGAGCCACCACACCAGGCCTCTAAGATTTGTTTAATGAACATACTTGCTCCTGGGACAACAATGGAATATATTCATTCCATCTTATAGGAGACTCACAAGGCAACTTTTTGGCTGCTATCATTTGTTGTTGTTGTTGTTGGGTTTTTTTTTTTTGTTTGATTTGGTTTGTTGTTGTTGTTGTTTTTGTTGTTGTTTAGTAGAGATGAGGTTTCACCATCTTGACCAGCCTAGTCTTGAACTCCTGACTTCATGATCCACCTGCCTTGGCCTCCCAAAGTGCTGGGATTACAGGCATGAGCCACTGTACCCAGCCAACTCATATTGTATTTTTAAAGAATAAAAGCTGTGGAGCACAATGGGCTCATGCCTGTAATACCAGGGCTTTGGGAGGCCAAGGCAGAAGGACTGCGTGAGTCCAGGAGTTGGAGAGCAGCCTGAGCAACAAAGCTAGACTCCATGCCTACAAAAAAATTTTACAAACTAGTCAGGCCTAGCGGTATGTACTAGCTACTCAGGCTGAGGCAGGAGATCTTGAGCCCAGGAGTTGAAAGCTACAGTGAGCTATGATCAGGCCTCAGCAACTCCAGCCTCAGCAACAGAGCCAGACCTTGTCTCAAAAAAAAAAAAAAAGCCAAGTACAGTGGTTCACACCTGTAATCCCAGCACTTTGGGAAGCCAAGGCAAGAAGATTGATTGAGCCTAGGAGTTAAAGACCAGACTGGACAACATAGTAAGACCTCATCTCTATTAAAAAACAATTTTTTAAAAAAGAAAAAAAAAATGTTGTTGAGTCTTGGCGTCTCTGTTTCAAATGCAGGTTAAGGAATGGAAGAAAAAATTAAACGTGTCGTGTGTTAACTTCAACTGTTAAAAGCATATATTTAAATTTTTGATGTTTACTTAAAAACTGACTTACCCCTGCTGTTTTTTCCGTGCCCTGGATGTGGTTAGCGGATGACCTCAGTGCCAATGAGCAGCTCGTAGGCCCCCATGCATCCGGAGTGAACTCCATCCTGCCCAAGGAGCATGGCAGCCAGTTTTTCTACCTGCCCATCATAAAACACAGTGATGATGAGGTAATTAACCCCCAAGTTTCTCTTAAAGGGCTTCAGATTAACACACAAGCCTTATGGGCCTGTTTTCCCAGTAAACTGCTGTGGTTTGCCTTGGGGAAAAAGACTGGGTACTTTAAAAAATAGAACATTGGTGCTGCTGTTCAAAAAAGGTGAGGCAAGAAATCTGTTTGATTACAGTGAGTTGAATTTATTTTCTTTCTCTTGTATACCCTGTAAAACTGCTACGCCTGACTTGTGTCTTATTTCCATCTCCCCCTCATTCCCGGACTCTTAGGTTTCAGTCACAGCCTCTTGGGATTCCTCGGTGCATGATTCTGTTCACTTGAATAGGGTCACACCACAGAATGAAAGGATTTACCTAATTGTGAAAACCACAGTCCAGCTCAGCCACCCGGCTGCTATGGAGCTAGTATTACGAAAACGGATTGCCGCCAATATTTACAACAAGCAGGTAATAACAAGGCCTGATTCTGCCATTCTGGCTCTAAGCTCCAACTTTTTGCCCTCTCTCTATCACAAAGCAGTGTTCTGTGGTGCTAATGCAGGGGATGTGCAAAATGTGACCATCCTGGCCAAGTTATAGTCCGATTCTCATTTATCCAAGATAGTGGGCAATAGGATAGCAGAGACAGCGTCATCCAGTAAGGGCATTTTCACCTTGACTGATTGGAGACGTATAATCCTAACAGGCAGTGGAGCTGTGGTATTTCACTGGTTGAAAAATAGAAAAACTGAAGCTGAGGGATTAAGTGCCAGATCCAAGCAGGTGAATGAGAAAACCGGGGCAAGAGGCAGACTCCAAACAAGTCCCTATCCTGCTGCTTTGATGGATCCTATCTCAGAGGTGCTGTCAGTGAAACTGATCCTTTCCAGTGTTGTGTGGCCTCTCAGGAATGACTGATTAAACCCTGGAGAGATCAAAGGAAGGCAGCAGATGGGAGAGAGAAGCAACCACAGAAACCCTGAACATGCTGCAGATTCTATAGTCTAATTCCCAGCTAACAGCTGGACGTTAGTACCCCTTGGGATTGGAGATAGGTATTCTTAGCTTCAGTTCTTTCCTCTTATGCTGGGTATTGTGCATATCAAAAACATAGTAATTCATAATGCTTTTACAATTTGTAAAATACAAAATAACTTACATTTGTCATATAGCTTAATTCAGCTTTTTTTTTTTTTTTTAACCAGAGTTTCACACAGAGTTTGAAGAGGAGAATATCCCTGAAAAATATAGTTTATTCCTGTGGTGTAACTTATGAAATAGTGTCCAATATACCAAAGGTAAAATATATGCTACTTTTTAAAATGGCAGTATATAAATAATGGAGAATGTGTTCATTCTGCAGACTTCTTTTTTTTTTTTTTTTTTTTTTTGAGACGGAGTTTCACTCTTGTTACCCAGGCTGGAGTGCAATGGCGTGGTCTCAGCTCACTGCAACCTCCGCCTCTGGGTTCAAGCAATTCTCCTGCCTCAGCCTCCTGAGTAGTTGGGACTACAGGCACGTGCCACCATGCCCAGCTAATTTTTTCTATTTTCAGAGACGGGGTTTCACCATGTTGACCAGGATGGTCTCGATCTCTCGACCTCGTGATCTACCCGCCTCGGCCTCCCAAAGTGCTGGGATTACAGGCTTGAGCCCACCGCACCCAGCTCATTCTCCAGACTTCTAAAACATTTTCTCACCACACTTCGGAAGAAAACATTGTTCACATCAAAGTATTGTCATTTCCATCCTGTCCTATTAGGCAACTGAGGAGATAGAGGACCGGGAAACGCTGGCCCTCCTGGCAGCAAGGAGTGAAAACGAAGGCACGTCAGACGGGGAGACGTACATTGAGAAGTACACTCGGGGTGTGCTGCAGGTGGAAAACATTCTGAGTCTTGAACGGCTCCGGCAGGCAAGTAACTGAATATCTGGACCAAGGATGAAATCACCAGCCTTCACCCATAATGGACAGACGTGAATCTATTTACCAAATACTAAATCTGTCAGAGAAGGAGCACTTGAGTAGCCATCTCTTTGAAAGGATTCTGGCAAAACAGTAATAAAAATAATGACTGACTTTTACTGAATACTTCCTATTTGCCAAACACTGAGCCTGAGTAATATAGATATATTATTTTATTTAATCTTTAAGATAACCCCCTGAGATAAGTACTGTTGAAATCCCCATTTTCAGATGAGAAAATTGAGGCTGACAGAAGTTAGCTCACTCACTCATGGTTATGCAGCTAGAAAGAGGTTCAAAGTCAGATGTAAAGCCAAATAGTCTGACTCCAAAGCCCATATGCTTAATCACAGACTATTATTATCTCCGTAGTTTTTAGACCTGAGTTAACTTTTGAGGTGACAACAGGACATTCAAGTGAAAATAATCCACGAAGTAATGCAATTATAAGACGACATATGTCATTTCATAGGAGCGACAGCTGACATAATGGAGGGTGTGTATTGATTAATAGGAGGAATGTGATTGGCGTCTGTCAGAAAAATCTTCCCTTAATGGAAATCCCACCTGAATTGCTGCATGAGTAAAATACAAACAGCATCACACTTCGTTGTCATTTTGCAAGTGAGATAATAGAGTTAGCGGTCTCTCTTCTACATTTCCTCTGTCCACCTGTTTAAAAATTTCACAACATAAATGTCTTTCATTCTGCTGTTTTCCTGGTTTATTTTGTTTGTTTGTTTGTTTGTTTATTTTTGAGACAGAGTCTTGTTCTGTCACCCAGGCTGAAGTGCAGTGGCGCAATCCCAGCTCACTGCAACCTCTGCCTCCCAGGTTCAAGCAGTTCTCATGCCTCAGCCTTCCAGGTAGCTGGAACCACAGGCACCCGCCACCATGCCCAGCTAGTTTTTGTATTTTTTAGTAGTGATGGGGTTTCACCATTTTGGCTGGCAGGTCTCAAACTCCTGTCTCAATTGATCCACCTGCTTCAGTCTCCCAAAGTGCTGGGATTCAGACATGAACCACCACACCCTGCAGTTTTATTTATCTTTAAAAAAATGTTTTTGATAAATTGTTAAGCAAATAATAAGTGGGTAAAATAATATTCCAGTTATATAAATGTATGTGTATGTAGGACTGAAGTAGTCTGTACTTAAATCTATAAATAAACATATGTTACTTTTATAAATAGAATAAAAAATAAAGTATTGGCCAGGTGCAGTGGCTCACGCCTGTAATCCTAGCACTTTGGAAGGACATTGCCTGAGCTCAGGAGTTTGAGACCAGCCTGGGTAACATGGTGAAACCCCGTCTCTACTAAAATACAAAAACAAATTAGCCAGGCATGGTGGCATGCACCTGTAGTCCCAGCTACTTGGGAGACTGAGGCAGGAGAATTGCTTGAAACTGGGAGGCAGAGGTTGCAGTGAGCCAAGATTGCACGACTGCACTCTCCAGCCTGGGCAACAGAGCCGAGACTCCATCTCTGGTAGGAAAAAAAAAAAGGTATTATTTTCAAATTATTGTGTTTACAGGCTGTCTCGGTCAAAGAAGCCCTTTCCACCAAAGCCCGGCACATTCGGAGGAGCCTCAGTACACCAAATGTTCATAATGTAAGTGCCTCCTGCCAAGGATCTGCTCCTGTGTGACACATCTCAGGATCTGGGCTGGGGGAAGGTGGAGTTCATACAGTGGCAGGAGAGCTTATGGCAGTGGTGTGGGCATCCCAAAGTGTGGCCTACTTCTCTGAACCAGGGACGCATACCAGGAAGCACAGTTGTTTAAGACCAAGCCATTTGTTCAGTCTTATAAATTCCCATTCAGCAAGTTATCTCCTTGAAAGAAGTTCCTTAAGATATAAATTGAGTTTAGTTGGTTAGAGATGGTGGAGTCAGCTAAGAATCCTGGCAGCCGAGTCTGTAGGTGCTGGCTGTTCCAGGGTCAGTTTTTGTGCCCGTTCTAGCTCCCCTGGTGGAGCTGAGTCTGCCGCCATCAGTGTGATAAGAAGTCAGCCACTGCATGTAGTCACTCTGGAAGTCCCTACTTATTCCTTTGACCATTTTGATTATTTTTCTCAACCAATTCGTCTAGAAAATCCAATTGACAGAAACGGCTTCTAGCAGGGGCAAAACTGTCACAGACAGATAGGACAGATCACTGCATGGACCACTTCAAAGCAGCCACTTCCCAGAAGCAGCTGAGTGGAAGTAAGATCTTTCCAAGGAAAAACACAGCCTTTCTGTTCTCCAGAATTGCCAGAAAATTATTTAAACCATAGTGAACATTTACAAGAATTGTCCTATAGTGGGTTACAGAGCAAATCCCAGTAATCATTATCACATAGGTTACTTCTTCTGACCACAATGCATTTATTAGAAATAGATGAGAGACTCATAAAGTTGTAAATTGGAAAAACCCTTTTCATGAACTCAGCTGTCATAGAAGAAATTATAAAGGAAATTGGGATGTATTTAAAACTAAATAAGAATTAAAATGATACATAGATCAACGTTTGTGAGATGCAGTTAAAGTGGTACTTAGATAGAAATTATTCACCCTAAATTCCCTATAATTCTGTATAAAACAATACCAGACCGTAGAAAAAAAATGAGAGGGTGAGGGCTACTATTAGGAAATTTATATTGCTTATATTAAAAAGTAGAGTAAAAACAATTAGGTAAACATCTAGCTTAAAAAGTAAAGAAAAACTGTTTATGAAGTAATCTTAAAAAATATATATGTATATATGTTTTTAATCTGAATCTGATCAAGACTTTAGAGAGGTTTGCTGGAGGCGACGAGTTTGAGACCAGCCTCGGCAACATAGTAAGGCCCCATCTCTACAAAAATTTTTTTTTTTTTTTTTTTTTTTTGAGACGGAGTTTCGCTCTTGTTACCCAGGCTGGAGTGCAATGGCGCGATCTCGGCTCACCGCAACCTCCGCCTCCTGGGTTCAGGCAATTCTCCTGCCTCAGCCTCCTGAGTAGCTGGGATTACAGGCACGCGCCACCATGCCCAGCTAATTTTTTGTATTTTTAGTAGAGACGGGGTTTCACCATGTTGACCAGGATGGTCTCGATCTCTTGACCTCGTGATCCACCCGCCTCGGCCTCCCAAAGTGCTGGGATTACAGGCTTGAGCCACCGCGCCCGGCCAAAAATATTTTTTAAATAGCCAGATGTGGTGGCACGCACTTGTAGTCCCACTCAGGAGACTGACACAGGAGAATCACTAGCGCCCAGGAGTTCAAAGTTACAGTGAGCTATGATCACACCACTGCACTCCAGCCTGGATGATCGAGCAAGACCCTGTCTCTTTAAAAAAAAAAAAAAAGAGAGAGAGAGAGACTCTAAACTACTAATATTTAGAGGACAGAGGAAAATGTTAAATGATGCCACAGGGATTTAATCAGCACAATTCAGACCATGGGAAACAATACATAACAAATGACCTAGCTTTTCAAAATAGATTCAAATTTAATTGTTTTTATAACAAATAAAATTTCAAAAGGGAAAACTCAGATTCAAAGAGACCTAAGCGGTGTATCAACCAATTGCAATATATGAGCTATTTTCATCTTGATTCAAAGTAAACTGTGAAGTTAAACGTTTATGAGACATTTGAGCACTGACTATATAATTGATAGTATTTAGGAATCACTTAAATTTTTCAGATGTGATAATGGTATTGTGGTTATCATTTTTTAAAAGGGAAAGGGAGTTCCTTATCTTTTAGAGATTCATAGAGATTTATAGATAAAATTGTTTAAATTTAGGGGGAAAAATCAAAATACATTCAAATTAAGAAAGACAGAAATATTAGAGCAGAAATATAGCCAGGCACAGTGACTCATGCCTGTAATCCGAGCACTTTGGGAGGCTGAGGCGGGTGGACCTGAGGTTAGGAGTTCAAGACCAGCCTGACCAACGTGGTGAAACCCTGTTTCTACTGAAAAATATAAAAATTAGCCAGGCATGGTGGCTAATCCCAGCTACTCAGGAGGCTGAGGCAGGAGAATCGCTTGAGCCCAGGAAGCAGAGGTTGCAGTGAGCCAAGATCATTACATTCCAGCCTGGGCAACAGAGCAAGACTCCATCTCAGAAAAAAAAAAAAAAGAAATATAAATTCAAATAAAGAAGGGAATAGTGAATATTAGAACAGAGGTATGTGAAATGAAAACAAATGATCAATAAAGCTGAAAATCAGCTTGTTTGAAAAGACTAGTCACATGACCTGACTTCTAGTTAGGATTGATTGGGGAAGAAAAGAAAATATGAGAGAAGATACAAATATTACTGGGAACTAAAAGGAGGCTATTAGTCTAGAAAGAGCAGAAATTTAGACATCATAAGAGTAAACTATGAATAATGTTATGCCAATAAATGTAAAAGCTTAAATAAAATGGAAATTTCCTGTAAAGACTGAATCGAGAACAAATAAGAAACCTAAATACAGCTATCAACAAAAAGGACTAAACTAAAATAATGATTATGCTCATTGATGAGAATTCACAGTATCAAAAACTTGGTATGTCCTTAAGCTAATCTATAAATTCTCAGCAGAATTTTTTGTAAGATTTGATAAGTTGATTCTAAAACCTGTATGGAAAAGCAGTCAAAATATATTCATACCTTATGTACAACCCAGAGATTTCATGCCTTAGATACATACTCTAGAGATTCTCATACAAGTCATATTTAAAACTAAATGATACTAAAAATAGTACACATATCAATACTTGATTAGACTATTGAATAAGACCATATATAGTAAGGTATCACTCATACAAAGTATGAAATATGCAAAATAATATTAACTATTGGTTATGAGTATATACACCATATAATTATATAAAACTTGTGTGGGAATAATAAACTCCAAATTGAGGGTAGTCACTACTCCTGGAGAGGGAAGAAAGAAGACGAGAAGAATGAATAATATAGGCTTCAACTGTGACATTGTTTCTTTATATAAAAAGAAACTTATATTAAATATATTGACCACGTTGATAAAACCATTCTTCTCTTAAAGGTCTCTTCCAGCCGACCAGACCTTTCTGGCTTTGATGAAGATGATAAGGTATGCACCTATGAGCATGGTTAGGTTTTTAGCAGAATCTCAGTCTGGAAAGTTATGGGATCTTCATGTTTTTAAAATCTCTAGGGCTTACTTGGTTGATCCTGTCAGTTTAAAAAGAAAAAGGGCTGGGCACTGTGGCTCACATTTGTAATCCCAACACTTGGGGAGGCTGAGGTGGGCAGATCACCTGAGGTCAGGAGTTTGAGATCACCCTGGCCAACATGGAGAAACCCCATCTTTACTAAAAATGCAAAATTAGCCAGGAGTAGTGGTGCATACCTGTAGTCCCAGCTACTCAGGCAGCTGAGGCAGGAGAATCGCTTAAACCTGCAAGGTGGAGGCCACAGTCAAAATCACGCCATTGCACTTCAGCCTGAGCAACAAGAGCAAAACTTCATCTCAAAAAAAGAAAAAGAAAAATATCTGGGCTTCCCATCTTAGTCATAAGCAGATAGTTCTTTCCACAGCTCCATTTCCAAGTTCAAATACTTGATGTGAAATTGCTGTGCACTTATTTATTTATTTATTTTTTTTTTTTTTTGAGATGGAGTTTCTGTCTTGTTGCCCAGGCTGGAGTGCAGTGACAGAATTTCAGCTCACTGAGCTCACTGCAATCTCTCCTCTCAGGTTCAAGTGATTCTCCTGCCTCAGCCTCCCGAGTAGCTGGGATTATAGGCATTTGCCACCACACCTGTCTAATTTTGTATTTTTAGTAGAGACGGAGTTTCACCACGTTAGCCAGTCTGGTCTTGAACTCCTGACGTCAGGTGATTCACCCATCCCAGCCTCCCAAAGTGGTGTGATTACAGGTTTGAGCCACCGTATTTAGCCAATTTCTATGCACTTCCAGTATTACATTGTTACCTACCATGATAGATTCCATACTAGGACAGTACCACATAATTGAATAGATATCTGTGTGTTTATTGGTCTAACTCTGATTGGAAAAGGTGTTATATTCACCATAGCATAATCAAAATTATTTCAAATGGGTAAAACAGGGATTTTAAAATTAAGGACGAATTGCAACATTATCTTACTCAACAAATATTTCTTGAATACATATTATATATGCGTTACTGTGCTAGAGACCGTGGATGATCCAAAAGGTATAAGCACAGATTTATGTCCTTAAAAAGTTTAAAATGTAGTCTTCAGTGGCAGTCAACTCCTGAGAAGTTGAAAGAAGGTTAAATAAGCTCATAGGATATGCCAGAGTTTTCTCTGTTTGGTATATCAGTACCTGATGCCTATCTCAAACTTTTAAATCTCAAGTATAGGTAGAGTAACCACACTGCCAAATTTGCCTGGGACGGTCCCAGCTGTGCCTGCTACCCAGGCAGAATTACTAATGGAACAGATGTCTTCTGAGAGTGTTTCAGTTTGCTCATTAAATTATCAAGTCATTATGGATATATGCCAAATTGCTCAAAGTGGCTGCCTCTCGGGAGGGAGGAAGATGAATGGGACCAAAAGATTAAACTGCATTTGTAATAATTTTATTAAATCTTGAGCAAACATAATAAAATGTTGACGCTTATGCACTCCGGGTATACCTTGGTTAAGACAGTATTTGTTATAATATTCAGGCCTTTCCTGTATATTTGAAATATTTCGTAATAAAAATAAAGAACAGTATATACTGCCATTGAAAAATAGAAGAAACTCCAACCTGGGTTTTATTTCTTGTTATAGAGTGACTCAATTACAGTTAGCCTATATTTTTACCTTGTAGGGTTGGCCAGAGAACCAGTTAGACATGTCTGACTACAGCTCCAGTTACCAAGATGTAGCATGTTATGGAACTTTACCCAGGGATTCTCCTCGAAGAAATAAAGAAGGTAATGGTGAGATTATTTTGCAGTGATATTTCTTTGTAATTACTTAGAAAATGCATGAAAAAAATTCTTTCATTAATGGCATATAATGAGATATGAAGCTAATACTATAATTAACTAGATGAATTCAAAGCTGTCTTTTTGAGTGGAACCTATTACATTCACTTATTTGATCTATTTTTGTTTTGTATCCAACATACCACCCAAATAATCGTAGGCTTTTTGTATATCACTTTAGAACTTCCAAATCATCTTTCATACATCATTTTCTGACTTTGAAGTCCAGTTTTGAGCACATACAAATCATATTATTTTCCACGAGAAGAATGTCCAGTTCTGTAATGTTTGTGTACCTAAAGGAATTTTTACAAGAACATGACTTTGATTCGTAAAGCAGTTTTCAAAAATGATACCCAAATGAGTCTGATTCATGGTAATATTACTACCTAAATTACATAGTCTACCAGTGCCTTAAGGGGAATAGTATTCTTCAGCTATATAAACCAGTTCTGTTACCTTATACCTTATATTAGTAGGTAAAACATAGGATATATTCGCCATTATGCTAGCAAATTGGAAAGGGAGGAAAGAGGCCAAAGGGGTAAGATGATTCAAACAAAAGAGAAGAATTGTGCTCCCTTAGTCATATAGAGCAGGAAGAAAAAGAGGCTCGCAAGAAAATGTACACAGTATTCATTCATTGAGTATTTACTGAGCCTCAACTTTCTGTGTTAAAATATAACTGTGGAAACAAGAGACATAGAAAATAAGATGTTAATCTAGCTTGACTCCTGGTGATTAAAAAAAGAAAATAAGATGTTAAATGATAAAGTGCCAAAATGAACGTGCAGATATTAATAAGGGCTGTGAGAATTCAGAGAAGTGGAAAATCAGTACGAGCTGAAACTGGTCTGGTTAGTGGCACTGAAGCTGGACCTTGAAAAGAGTGTAGAAAATTTGGTGTCTCATTTTGTTCACATACATTAGCACTTTAGTAACTCTTTGTGACTTCATAAATTTATTCCTGTTCTTGCCTACATCTATTTGATGGTTTTTCTTTGTTTTTGTTTGGTTTGGTTTTTTGTGGGTTGTTTTTTTTTTTTTTTTTTTTTGAGATGGAGTTTCGCTCTTGTTACCCAGGCTGGAGTGCAATGGCGCGATCTCGGCTCACCGCAACCTGCGCCTCCTGGGTTCAAGCAATTCTCCTGCCTCAGCCTCCTGAGTAGCTGGGACTACAGGCACATGCCACCATGCCCAGCTAATTTTTGTATTTTTAGTAGAGACAGGGTTTCACCATGTTGACCAGAATGGTCTCGATCTCTTGACCTCGTGATCTACCCGCCTCAGCCTCCCAATTTTTGTGCTTTTTTTGAGACAGGATCTCTCTCTCTTGCCCAGGCTGGGATGCAGTGGCACCATCATAACTCACTGCAGCCTCAACCCCTGGGGCTTAAGCGATCTTGCCTCAGCCTCCTGAGTAGCAAGTACAACAGGGGCACACCACCATGGCTGGCTATTTGTTTTTTGTTTCTTTTTTTTTTACAGTCTGGTCTCCCTATGTTGCACAGGGTGGGTGTACATCTGTTTTCGTGCTTAGCCAACTATTATCCTATGAATTTCATTGTTTTCCCGGATATTCCCATGGCTAGGTCGTTGCCTCAGTTCCTATGTGTTGCTTAAAGTGTGCAACGTCTGTAAACTCATAACTTCTCATCTTCCCCAGGTTGTACATCAGAGACTCCTCATGCCTTAACCATCAGCCCTTTTAAAGCATTCTCTCCTCAGCCGCCAAAGTTTTTCAAGCCCCTAATGCCTGTAAAAGAGGAGCATAAGAAAAGGATAGCCCTTGAAGCGAGGCCTCTTCTAAGCCAGGAGGTAAATGCCTGACTTGTCTGTTATGTGCAGAATAGAGCAGAGTGTGTTGCCTGTGGAGCAGCCATTTGCATTAACAAATAGAGTGCCGCATGTGGATGTGCATGCTCATCACTCCATGGACCCCCCCCCCCCGCCTTCTCGAATTCCTCTTTCTCAAGCATGCAGAGTCATGGTAGAATCTCTTGTTTGTTATTGCTGCTGTGGTTTTATTTCTTTGTGTTGATGACTTTTCAAAGTATTTTTTATGTTTCAAGTGAGAAAGATGTTTTCTAGGTGTTTTGAAAATATTCAAGGCTTTTTTAAAATTATTTTTCTTTTTTGTCTTATTGGAGATTTTCAATTTTGTTTTTTATAGAGAGGGTCTTGCTGTGTTACTCAGGCTAGTCTCAAAGTCCTGGCCTCAATTTATCCTCCTGCCTCAGCCTCCCAGGGCACTGGGATTACAGGCATGAGCCACTGTACCTGGTCAAAAGGCTGTTTTTTAAATAGGACTGATTATGCTTTTTGCCACAGAATGTGCTTATTCCTGTCATATTTCTCCAGTAATTTAACTCTGGCCTGCAGAATTGGCTGCTGCACTACTCACATGTAATAAAGGTGTTAGCATTGCTTTTCTAACTTGCATGTACTTAATGTGTATTTTGGCCGTTGTCGTCTTTTGTGTGTGATGCATCTGTGTGTCTTAACCTTTGCAGAGCATGCCTCCACCTCAGGCACATAACCCTGGCTGCATTGTGCCCTCAGGAAGCAATGGCAGCAGCATGCCAGTAGAACACAATAGCAAACGTGAGAAGAAGATTGTAAGTTCTGGAACCGTTTCTGTCATATTGCCTGGTGGTGGGTTTAAGGCCCTTTCACAGACAATCATTCAAATGCTAGAAGAAGTTAAGACTTGTATTGGGTCTTTGTCTTAAAAAAATTAAAATGTGACCGTTGGTAAAGATATTTTGCATGGATGTGGCCATGACCTACAATTTATTTTAGTTATTTTTTTGCTTAGGATAAGTTTGCTTAGAAAAAGGGAAAAAGGCACTTTGATTGCTTCTGGTCTTTATGAAAGTGTAACAAAGAGATATCTTTAATTAATACCAAAATCTTTCTAATGTGCCTGTACATATTGCCCAGATTCTGAAGTTAATCTACCTAGAGGAATTGCACTTACTTGGAGTAAGTAATCATGCATTTAGCTGTGGATATGTTTGGAAGCTTTTTTATGTTGCCTGATGCTATTGCCGAGATAATTCTGTAGTTAGAGCTTCACTGCAGTCTACCATGACCCTTCATCATCTCACTGTCTAGGGTAACCTTTGTTAATTAGCTGGCAAAATACATTCCCATACATTGGTACCAACCTTGCATTCAGAATGGCTTATGCATATTTTGCCACAGGTAGGTTGAAACTCTACCTGTGAAACCTCATTCCTTAGCACTTGGTTTTAAAATTACAAATTTGAGATACAGTTTTGAAAACACTGCATACCAGGCACCTTAGGTTATGAATTATACCTCAATTAAAAAAAAAAAAAAAAAACCTGTATATTCTCAAGCCTGGAAAGAATTCTGTAATTTTTTTGTCCCAGCTTTTACCTTCCTGTGGCTTCCTAGGCTTTGAAAAGTAAAGCCAGCTTGGGGAGACAGGAGGCTACTTGCTGCTTATGTTGCATCTGATTGTCTCTGTTGGGCAGAGTGCGGGGAGTCTCATTTCCCAGGGACACCATGCCAGACCCATTCCCAAAGCTCATTAGTGTGAGATCTTTTAACAGTTCCTAACGCACACTGTGTGAGAACTAACTGCAGCTTAATCTGGATGTGCGGTTGGCCACCCCCCTGCATGCTTGTAGTGCTGGTGGATCTTCAGAAACAATCTTCTCATTTCTAATATAAGAAGAAACGCACCATTTCCCTCCATTTCTTTATCCCTCTTCACCTCCTCTGCCTTTGGTTTCTCCCCGTCCCTCTGTCCCAAAACTCCATCCTAGTTCCTGATAGAGAAGAGTCCACATAGTAATAGCTGCTCATTCAACTCTCCAAATCTTACTGAGCTGTTCCCCCACTTACCTGACCACCCCCTGCTCTATTAACAAGGGCTGCAGTGTGGGCTAAAAAAGGCCAAATGAGTAGTTTGTTCCCCTGCCAATTCTCGGGCTCTGTGTCTGATTGGATCTGTTTATCGGCATGACACTTACACTGTGCTGCACAGCCACTCAATTTAAACCTATTGTAACAACACATTTTGGTAGAACACACTCAAGAGACTGCTGGATGAGCTTTCTGGGCTGCTCAGCAGGTATTTTCACAGTTCACAGGGCTAGACTCATGTTTTCTTCATGTTCCCTTTAATATTTTAAAATAAAACCCATCTCAGGGCTTTCAGCTAGCAGAGGGCAGGATGGAACCAGATTATCTTGACCCAAGAAGTCTCAAGCAGCAGTTAGACTCTATGACTGAATATACCATAGAGTACAGTAAGGAGGATTTGTTGGTGTTACTGTTCTTGCCAGAGTCTTAATTGAAAAAGCTGTCCTCTACTCTCCATAGGAAACTGGCTTGCTGAGCGTTGTGTACTCAAGAGGTTTTTGGGCTCTTTAATTCATTCCAGATAGCAGTTTTTCAGGGTGTTTTGGTAGAGTTTAAGTGCATTGTTTGTTTGACCTAAGGTTCCTGTTTCTCTTTGGGAAACTTTTTTTTTTCTCTTATAAGTGGGTACAAACTGTTTTCTTCCTCTGTGACTAATTCACGTTCTTTTCTCTTCCACTTTTGAACAATCAGAGCGACTCAGGAGTGCAGACTGATCAAGAGAGTTTGAAAACATTCTTGAGAAGGACAGTATCAAGACATTGTTCCTGTCATTGTTTAACCCACTTAATTACCATAGTAACTTCTGTAATAAAATATAGTCAATATGGCTATGCTTAATTCTTAAAGCAATATTTTGTTTGATCAGTTTGAGAAGACATACAGATGTACTTCATGTCTCATATGAATAAGATAGGGCCAACAATCTACCTTTGGAGTCTATCTTTTTTAAGTCACAAAACATAGAGAATAGCCTAAAGTCAGTGATTGTTCCTAGTATCCACATGACCCTTCTCTTAGGTCTTGCATAGATAGCATGTGGTTTATTCCTCTCGTTTACAGAAGAAACAAAGGGTTAGAATTGTTGAGCAACTCGCTCAAGGTCTTACAGTTAATAAGAGCGTAAGACCAAAGAGCCCCATTCCTCAGCATAATTGAGGGGACTCCAGTGACTCCAGGTGCTTCCAAAGATAGCAGTGTGCCCTGCGGCTGCTCTTCAGACAAAGGGCTTGCTCCTCAGTACCATGGACAGAAGTACTGGAGCCCTTGGCTGGTACAGTTCTGCAGAGACCTCTGGTGAACAGCACAGACATGATTATAATAGAAGTGGAAAGTGCATTAATCAAGTGAAACTCCTTACAAGGAATCACTGCTTTAATGTGGATGTCAATCCCTTTTTTAAAATCAAGGTGTTTTGTCTATAGGTAAATAGCAGCGTAAGTTAAATTCCAAAAATCAAATGAAGACTGTAGCTATAGAGAAGCTGGAGAACTTGACTCCATGCACCACTTTAGGTAGGGTTTTCATTATTTTTGTCCTTAAGACATTGTAGGAAGGTGCTTAGTTTATTCTTCTTTAAGATATAATGAGAAATGGTATTTCTGGTTTAAAAAGTCTAAACCAAACTCCCTCAAAATACGGTTTAAGCCAATTAAATCATCCCTTAATTGGCAATAACTCGCAATCTCCTTTTAAGTATTGGAAAATGTTTAATCTCTGCTAAATTTTCCTTTTTCTGGAATAAGCTGTCCCTACTGTTTCCACCTTTTCCTTTGGGATTTTGGGTCTTTTTCCCCACTGTGAACTGCTACCTATTTGAACTTAATCTCTTGGGGCTTTATAGATTCTTAGTTTTATTAATGTCACTCTAATCCTTTAGGAATAATTTATTATCTTTGATAAGTTTACAACTCTTTCTGCTGAGTAAATTCATGATTACATATTTCATTCAGCAAAATTATATTTTAGGATAACAGGCCTTTCCTTGGTCTTGAGAAGAAATAACTTTAAACATATAAAAGACCCCAGATTGCTAATTCTCATCTTTAAATTTGATTTTCCTTGCAATAAATAACTTTAGTAATTAATTATAGTAAATAGTAATTTAGTCATTAATTGCATCATATATGCTTAGACTTGGAGAATTGTGTTTCTTTGCCAGCTTAAATCAAAAGGAAATAGAAGAGATACAAACACTTGAAATTTAATTTTTGGCCAGATGAGGTGGCTCACGCCTGTAATCCTAGCACTTTGGAAGTCTGAGGTCAGGAGTTCGAGACAAGCCTGGCCAACATGGTGAAACCCCATTTCTACTAAAAATACAAAAATTAGCCAGTCATGGTGGCAGGTGCCTGTAATCCCAGCTACTCGAGAGGCTGAGGTAGGAGAATTGCTTGAACCAGGAGGCAGAAGTTACAATGAGCTGAGATCACACCATTGCACTCTAGCCTGGGCAACAAGAGTTAGACTTCGTCTCCAAAAAAAAAAAAAGAAAGAAAGAAAGAAAAAAGAAATTTAGTTTTGAGTCTAAACATGACAAGTAGAGAATATAGAAAATATAGGCAAAGGATACTGGTTCAGACAATTCTATTCAGTCTTTGTTCCTTCACCAACATTTCTCCAAACCAGGGAAAGAATGCTTCCCCCCCCCCCCCCACTTTTTTGACAATGCTACTTAATTTAGAATGCAGATTAAGATAAGATGGAAATAGATTAGTGTCTCCAAAAATTTTATTTTTCCAATTTCAGGAACTTTATCACTAATATTTGATATTCACCTTTGATTAATAGCTAAAGAATTAAGATCACCAATTCCTTTACACATTTATATTCAGTGACATTTTTAGAACTTAGTTATAAAAACTAAATTTTTTAAAAGCTGAAAAGCATTTAAGAGAGTATTAAACTGCCGGGCACGGTGGCTTACACCTGTAATCCCAGCACTTTGGGAGGTCGAGGCAGGCAGATCACGAGGTTAGGAGATCGAGACCATCCTAGCTAAGACGGTGAAGCCCCGTCCCTACTAAAAATACAAAAATTAGCCAGGTGTGGTAGCATGCACCTGTAGTTCCAGCTACTTGGGAGGCTGAGGCAGGAGAATAGCTCGAACCCAGGAGGCTGAGATTGCAGTGAGCCAAGATTGCGCCACTGCAATCCAGCCTGGATGACAGAGCGAGACTCCGTCTCAAAAAAAAAAAAGAAGTATTAAAATATTTTTGAGGTATGTAGAATCTTGAAATGCAAAAGAAAATACTACTGTTCATCTAAAAAGATGAAAGTTATGTTCATTTGTAAACAAGTATTTGCCATGCTTTGAAGATGTTGCCCCCTCCCTACCTCAATTAAAATGCAAATTTATGGGTGGGGTAAAGTGGCTCAGACCTGTAATCCCTGCTACTCAGGATGCTGAGATTGGAAAATTGCTTGAGCCCAGGTGTTTGAGCTACAGTGAGCTGCAATTGCACTACGCCACGCCAACCTGAGTGACAGAGTGGACCCCTGTCTGTAAAAAAATAAATAAATAAAAGTAAATAAATCTTAAAATAAATAATATGCAAACTTAGTGAATAGGGCTGATGTTTTGGTTTCAGGTCTTTACATGCATCTAGTTGTTCTAATTGTAGATATTTTAAACCAGATGACCAATGAAAGAAAGCTATTTTTGAGGTACTAAGTTTTCCTGTAAATGAAATTTTTATCCATCCATGCAGGATTGTTCTAAGAGCAAGAGTGCAAAGTTGTAATTCTCTGAGGGAGGGAGCATGCCTTCTTTTGCTCACCGTTGCTTTTTCCAAGTTCTTACGATGATGGCTGGCATGTAGTGGATGCTCAGTGTGTATTTGTTGAATAAAAGACACATTTAAAAAGGAATATTTACGATTTCGTTAGGTGCTTCTGAGGTCAATTACAAATGGCTAGAGAGTTAAATCGTTTATTTTATTTGGACATAAAATATCCACTTTTTTTTTTTTTTTGCCAAAAATAAAGGAACCATTCATTTGGAGAGAGACTAGGGAGTTGGTGACACCCACTTTTGCAAGGATTTACCGATTGTTATGAACAGAGTTTGAAAACTATTTTATAAAGGAGATTTTCATTTAAACTTTACCATGCCTTCTTCACCTTCTAGCCATACCCTCTACTCATACTTCCCAAAAATCCTAGAAGACAGTGAGTGTCAGATAAATTGTTAGTATTTTATTGCCTTACAATATTTAGTATAATATAAAAGTGTGTCTTGAAATTACGTTTTTTGCCCTTTCGCAGTTGGGTTCTTTGTTTAACTCCCCTTTCCCCCATAAAATAGCTGAGAAATTTTTACAAATTACCTTAACTACCTGTACTTTGCTTTTCAAGGTGAAGATTCTAAAGACAAATGGAGTGGCTCTTCTCTGCCTCTGCCTGTTTCTCTGCTCATTTAATGAGAAAAGAGAAAACATCACAACTAAAAACTGATTCTGAATAACTAATAAAATGTCCAATGCACTTCAGTTCCATCCTTTCTCTTAAACCAGGGAAGGAATGATTTCTAATTAGCACTGAGTGAACCTAGAACTAAATACCCTTCATATTAGATGACAAGGGGTTTATATTTGCAGGTCTCTGAGAATACTGATATACCTTTATCTGCAGTAGGTGACATGATCTGGCCAGATTTGGAAAGACAGAAAGAAAACACTGAACACCATGTGAATGTGAATGCCTTTAATCGCCAAGCATTTAAAACTTGTCTCAGCAGTACAGTCACTACAAGGAGCTAATGACTGACTTTTGCTTTCCTTCTGTAGGACTCTGAGGAGGAAGAAAATGAGCTGGAAGCTATTAACAGGAAGCTGATAAGTTCACAGACTTATGTGCCTGTGGAGTTTGCTGATTTCAGTGTTTACAATGCCAGCTTGGAGAACAGGGAATGGTTTTCCTCAAAAGTAGATCTGTCAAACTCACGGGTCTTGGAGAAAGAAGTGTCCCGTAGCCCTACCACCAGCAGTATTACCAGTGGCTACTTTTCCCACAGTGCCTCCAATGCCACCCTGTCTGATATGGTGGTCCCTTCTAGCGACAGCTCAGATCAGCTGGCCCTTCAGACAAAGGACGCAGACTCCACCGAGCACTCTACACCATCACTTGTGCATGATTTCAGGCCGTCCTCAAACAAAGAGTTAACAGAAGTCGAAAAAGTCTTGGTAAAGGACAAGATAATTATGGTGCCACTCAAGGAAAACAGTGCCTTAGCCAAAGGGAGCCCATCATCCCAAAGCATCCCTGAGAAAAACTCCAGATCGCTGTGCAGGACTGGCTCATGTGCAGAACTAGATGTCTGCCCCAGCAAAAGCAGCCAGCCAGCCAGGGGATTCTGCCCCAGGGAGGTGACGGTAGAACACACCACCAACGTCCTTGAGGACCATTCTTTCACAGAGTTTATGGGGGTGTCAGAGGGAAAAGATTTTGACGGTTTGACATATTCTTCTGCTGGAGAGCTTTCGAGTAGGAAGAACCTACCAAATAAAACAGGCAGCAAGACCGTCTCAGATGGGCTCCACCACCCCAGCCAGCTGCATTCCAAGTTAGAGAATGACCAGGTAATCATTCCAGAGGAAGCCCTTTGGGTTCTGTGCTGTCAGTGAGTATGTCTAACTGTATACAAACCCAGAGGCTCTTCACTGCAACGACTTGGTAGTAAAGATTCATCCAGATGTTTCTGACAGCAAAGATAAGCCCACAGAGAAGCAGGCTCACTTCCTGCACAGCTGGCTCTGTTGAAGAGCAAGTCTGCCTTGGGAACTAGAATGCAATTTTGAAATTATCGGACCAGTGGATTTTTTTTACCTGGCATATGGGTTGGTGTTGAATTAAGTGTTCAGATGGATAAGGATCAAGCTCATATCCATCCCCTGAGATGTTCAGTTACTGGCTTTCCCAAAGTATTCTGGTAGCACCTATCATATTTCATCAAATCGGTGATTCCTTTCATTACTGTATGATCCATTATTTTATGTATCATTAAGAAAAAATACTGCCAATTAAACTTTATAATACAAACAGTTATAAGACACACCTCAATTTCAGAGATGTTAAAATGAGAAAAACATATATATTGTAGAACTGGAAAAAGACAGTCCTTTGTTGCCCATAGGTGGAAAAGTGCTTTGGGGAGGTATAGGCAAATTTCGCCAGCAGTTCAGGTTTGGGCTTTGGAAGTAACTCAGGTTAGTTTATAATTTTGGTTAATTTTCTTTTTTCTTTCTTTTTTTTTTTGAGACAGGAGTCTTGCTCTCACTCTGTCACCCAGGCTACAGTGCAGTGTCAGGATCTTGGCTCACAGCAACCTCTACCTTCCTGGCTCAAGCAATCCTCCTGCCTCAGCCTCTCCTGTAGCTAGGACTACAGGCACGCACCACCACACCTGGCTAATTTTTTTTATTTTCACCATGTTGCCAGGCTGGTCTCAAACTTCTGACCTCAGGAGATCCATTCACCTCCCAAAGTGCTGGGATTACAGGCATGAGCCACCACACCTGGCCAGTACATGTTGCTTAATTTTCATATGGGAACAAAATGAGTTTTTGCTACTATTGCTAAGGAAAATTGCAAATTATATAAATGAGGGATGTTCTGCTTCTGAGCATTCTGCTCTGAAGTACCACCAACTGTAAGAGGTATGGAAGAAGAGTCATGGCTTAGCACAGTAAAGAACTGACAGAGCTAGAAAGAGGCTTGGTGAAAGTAAGATAATCATGCTGCCACTCTATCCCTTTGTTTTGCTGAGCAAGTTATTCCATCGATGTGGCTTTTTGCCCCAATGCTTTTGCCCCTGCTTTCCATACCAGCTCTTGAAATTTCAGTGCAGGCCAGGCGCGGTGGCTCAAGCCTGTAATCCCAGCACTTTGGGAGGCTGAGGTGGGTGGATCACGAGGTCAAGAAATCGAGACCATCCTGGTCAACATGGTGAAACCCTGTCTCTACTAAAGATACAGGAAATTAGCTGGTCATGGTGGCACGTGCCTGTAATCCCAGCTACTCAGGAGGCTGAGGCAGGAGAATTGCCTGAACCCAGGAGGCAGAGGTTGCGGTGAGCCGAGATTGCGCCATTGCACTCCAGCCTGGGTAACAAGAGCGAAACTCCGTCTCAAAAAAAAAAAAATTTCAGTGCACAGTCATTTATACAGCATACTCATTACTGAACTGCCAAAACCTAAACAGTCATCTCTGACAAGAAGAAAAAGACTTCCTTCCCCAACGTAAGAATAATGATAGTCACTCACCACTGTTCTTGCAAGCAATGCATGCATTTGTTTAGGTCCTCAACTTCCTTCACATGGATTAAAGCAGAAGCTGCATGGTATACATCAGCTTTTCAGTCCTTGTTCGTCACGAAGGCCAGTGTCAAAGACTCGTTGATTATTTACTGTAAGGTTAGGTTTGCGTCTCAAACCTAAAGGTGCTACAAACTCTAGGGGCACAGAGCGTGTGGCAGAGGGTGCCTCTTGAAAATACAAATTCATGGCTGGGCTCAGCGGCTCATGCCTGTAATCCCAGCACTTGTGGAGGCTGAGGCAGTTAGATTGCCAGAGGTCAGGAGTTCAAGACCAGCCTGGCTAACATGGTGAAACCTCATCTCTTCCAAAAATACAAAAATTAGCCAGGCATGGTGCCACATGCTTATAGTCCCAGCTACTTGGGAAGCTGAGGCAGGAGAATCACCTGAACCCAGGAGGCAGAGGTAGCAATGAGCCAAGATTGCGCCACTGCACTCTAGCTTGGGCAACAGAACGATTCCGTTTAAAAAAAAAAAAAAAAAAGGCCGGGCGCGGTGGCTCAAGCCTGTAATCCCAGCACTTTGGGAGGCTGAGGCGGGTGGATCACGAGGTCAAGAGATCGAGACCAGCCTGGTCAACATGGTGAAACCCCGTCTCTACTAAAAATACAAAAAATTAGCTGGGCATGGTGGCGTGTGCCTGTAATCCCAGCTACTCAGGAGGCTGAGGCAGGAGAATTGCCTGAACCCAGGAGGCGGAGGTTGCGGTGAGCCGAGATTGTGCCATTGCACTCCAGCCTGGGTTAACAAGAGCGAAACTCCGTCTCAAAAAAAAAAAAAAAAAAAATTCAAATTCACCTGGGCTTGGTGGCTTGCGCCTGTAGTTCCAGCTGTTCTGGAAGCTGAAGCAGGATCATCATTTGAGCCCAGGAGCTCAAGACCAGTCTGGACAACAGAGTAAGATCCTGTCTCTGTTTATTTAATTTTTATTTTTAAAAATTAAATAAAAAAATTTAAAATTCAAATTCCCAGGAGTCACTGCCCTCCAGCCCTAAGATTTTGCTTTATACAGTGTGCATCAGGGGAAATAAGGTATTCACAGACCCTTCTTTCCTCCCCATCCCCTTCCACCCCCATAGAGTAATAGGAGACAGGGCATCTGAGGGCCACACTGTAGGAAGCACTGCCCATGGAAGACGGAAGAGGGGCAACAACCCCATTCTTGCCTAGATTATTTAGGACCCAATGAGAAAAGGTAAGGATTGGAAAGTTTCCAGAATAGCGTGTTCCTGCCAAAGACCATGGTTTAAAATGAAATTTACAAACGTGGTTATATCAAAATAATGGGATTATGGAGATTTTTCTCCATTAAAGAGTTTTTGGATACAGGGCACAGTGGCTCATGCCTGTAGTCCCAGCACTTTGGAGGCCAGGGCAGGAGGATCACTTAAGCCCAGGAGTTTGACACCATCCTGGGCAACATAACAAGACCTTGTCTCTACAAAAATTAAAAATATTTTTGACTTAATGTTTTTGTTACATTGGTTTCAATAATTTGTTTTGACGGTTTACAATTTTTTCTGAGAACTCTAAGTTGGACTTTTGTTCAAACCCCTGAAATGATTTAGATTGCACATATAGAAGTAACCTTTTTTTTCTTTTTTGAGATGGAGTGTCTCTCTGTCACCCAGGCTGGAGTGCAATGGTGCGATCTGGGCTCATTGCAACCTCAGCCTCCCTGGTTCAAGCAATTCTCCTGTCTCAGTGTCCTGAGTAGCTGGGATTACAGGCACAGGCCACCACGCCTGACTAATTTTTTGTATTTTTAGTAGAGAAGGGGTTTCACCATGTTCCCCAGGCTGGTTTCAAACTTCTGAGCTCAGGCAATCCACCTGCCTTGGCCTCCCAAAGTGCTAGGATTACAAGCGTGAGCCACCGTACCCAACCTCTTTTTTTAACTTTTACTTTGGGTGTTGCTATCATTACTTTTCCTAGAAACATCACCTCAGGGCTTCTACAGTGTGAATTCCAGCAGTGGATTCCGTAATAAAACCAATCCTGTGAATCCCTTTAGGAAGTGCTCCTTTCTCGTAGTGGGTGTGGAATGGGCTGAGATGGGGTGCTGTGGGTGGGGTGGCAGGTAGGGATGAGAAGCATGAACTCACCAGCTTCTGCATTCCAGGGAGACACGACCTCGAGGTAGGAGCAGCAAGCACCCCCTCCTCGGGCCACAGCTTGGCGTCTTTGTTCACCTGGTCATCTTGGGCAAGCACCAGCTCCATCTTTAAAACATGCTGCCATCCGGCTGGACCTCAGACCAGAAGCTGGAGAAGCCACGCCGGGCACTTCCTGGGCACCTCCTTTCCCCCTCCCAGTGGGAGAAGCAGCACTTTGTCACTTGGGTGAATCAACAGCCTCTGCTTTTTCCAGAAAGCAAGAGAACTGAAAATCCTGGATTAGCTAAGTGACAGTATTTTTGTTTGCACTTACTACACACCTCCACTGTATAGAAACCTCTACAGACTCCAACAGACTGTTCTTGTACAATTTTAATCAGTTCTTACTATAGAATCTGGAGTCAGTGCTCTAATCTGTTTTTTATAAATAATATATATTATGTATATGAAACGTGTATCTATAGTATGTCTGGAGACAGACAGGGCTACACACTAAAATGCAGATAAAGGTGATTTGTAGAAAATTATAAGGTACTGGACTTTGTTACAAAGCAACTTGGGCGATCTCTTATACATGAGCAGATGAAAAATATTTTATTGCCTAAGAATGAGCTTGCAAATCCCTCTTTGCAGAAAAGGTTATAGAATGCTGTTCTTTATAACCAAAGAACTTACATAAGACAACATTTTTGCTGTCCACTCTTTTGTGTGAACATGTATGTTTGACTGTGAGTTTGGTGCCATAATTCCCTTGGCTACCAAGCCACGTGCTGCCGTTCCCTGTCCTCTGTTTCATAAGCACACTGAGAAATCTCACAGCTATATTCTTTGGTCTTCCACCTGCCCCACCACCTGCTGACTTGACATTGTATTATAACCATTGACAGTGACTGGGGCCCTGACTCCACAGATGCCTGGACCATGGCTCGGCCCAGCCGGGCAGCTGGAATGAAGAGAGCAGTATTACTGTAAGAAAACACAAGGACAGCCAGGAGTCGTGGTGGGGTGGGTGGGGTGGGAGGTGTTGATTTTCATGTGTTTTTGTGTGTGTGGTTCTGTTTTGGATTGGTAGATTTCACTGTGGTGTGATTTTGCTGTCGTTATTTTGCTTGATTCTGGAAAATGCTGAGGAGATGGACTGAGCTATGAAGTTCGGTGTTTCATAATTTACCATGTTTGCAGGAGATGATTGAATACAGGTGACCCTGCTGTCGTGTCTTCATTTGTAAAATCCTCCTGTGAATGGAGACATTGAAGGATTATGTGTATGGAAATTTTTACAGAAG